AATTAGCTTCGCTTGAATTAATTTATCATTATTTGATGAAATAATAAATATACAATTATATATAATCCCTCATGAAAAAAAAATCCTATTTTTTCAAATAACGAGAAAACAAACCAGCATTATTTCTCAGACAACAATGTGATAAAAAAAAAGACATATGAAGAGTAAAAACTTCAGATAATATACAATCACAAATAAATTTTCACTAATAGCATAACTAGACATGGTTATGGAGGTTTGACATCTTAATACACTAGTATTACTGTTAGTGTTCTCACCGAAGTGAATGGTTTCGAATCGCTTAATAGAACTCAAAAACCTATAGTTAAGGCCATTGAAGGAGGCTAGACCATAATGAGATCCTAAGCCAATAGTAAATAACAAAGAGATAGTTATCATGAATATTGGTGTTTAGAGCACACATATTTGAGTAGTCTCAACACCACGCCGAAAGTAATTTGGGAGTGATTTCAGTAAACGCGGAAGTAAATGCCATGTCACAAACTTTCTGTGGATTTGTCATACAGAATGAACTCTTCACTCTGTTTCGGACTGAAATCCAAATAACAAGTTGTGAACAAATTGCTTTAGGTTTCAAATGCAAATCCTTGACGGATGCATCTGTTCGCCTTCAACAAATCCTCTCATTTCTGGCTCGTAAATCCGATCGATTGATCGCCTTTGCCGGCGATGCATCTTCATGTGAGAGCCTCCAGAGAAATTGGCTACGAGCACAGAGGATTCGACTGGTGGACGCGTCACGAGGCAGCCAAATGAGAGATTTTATATAACCTTTCATGATGAGCTTCAAAGGATAGAAAATCCAGACACAGAGACTATATAGACAGGTTCAGTGGTTAGAATTTTCAGGCAAACCATTCAATCGGCGACAGAGTACTTATTTGTATTCATCCGTATTCTACTCTTGGAATTTCGGCGCCTGTGAGCACGATTTTGTGTTCTATCATCGAGCAGAAGGTGCTGACGTTGAGTAGTGAACTTGCCACTGACGTTGAGTAGCGGCAAGTTCACGATCAAAGATCCGTGGCTTTCTGGCTTGTAAAGGCGTAGTTATTCATTCCAACGACTTGCAGTGCCTTCTTTGGTTTGGTTTGGGTGGAATGTTCACCTAGAACTAGGAGTTCAGCTCGATCCCCCGGCTCCGCTCGAGCGTTTCAAGTTCCTATCCCGAACAACTCAATCCCAAGAAATGCAGCGCATTGGCTACCAATCCATGCGGAACACCTCCAGAGTCCAGACTGGCCTGCCACTTGCAACTGTGCTCGGTTGGTGCTACTCAAATGGCAGCAGAGAGAGTGGCAGAAAGAGCCCGGTTTCAGACTATGAAGTCTTGCGTGGATGTTGGGGATGGTCCTGGCCTGCTCCTTGCAACATGGCTCCGTTGGTGGTACTGTATTCAAATTGCAGCAGGGAAGATAACGGTCAGCATCTTTGTAACATGAGGTACATTGGATTTGATTCAAAGCATCAATTACGATGCAATTTCAACCCCTCGTACGCTTATGAAACAGGAATCCGTCTTTTCTTGTGAAAGTGTTTGATGTTGTCATGGCCCGCCATGATTGAATGAGTATATAACGAAGATCTACCCTAAACCCGTGTTGTTTTCATCCTCGAAAAACTTATTTGATGTAAATGAGAAAATTTTATATTCCTACGAAGACAGGGCTTACATTTACGACTCAGGTAACAAGCCGTTGTTATACCCTTGCGATGGTGAGGACAGAGAGAATAATTTGTCATGTTTTGGTTTGAGTTCATACAAGTTCTGCATGAAAGTATTTGATTTATAATTTTCAAATCTTGTAAATGTATTTTCCACTTGCTATACAGTTACAAACATGAGAGCATAGTAATGTCTAATTTCCGAGCTTCTGAACAGAAATATCAAAATTTTCATTGATGGGATGAACTTTGTGAATTTATCTTGTTATGCTATAGTGAAAATATAGTTTTTAATATTTGTTTCTCGTAAATTGAAATTATAGGCATTTTTATATCATGAAAAATTATGTATATTGTATTTTATTAGGTTGTGATAATGTTATTCAAGTGAAGCGATTTTTTTTAATGGTTTTTAAATCAAGATGCAAATCTACTGTTTCTTTGTATATTATCAAAGGCTTCAATTTGTTTTATCATCAGCCATATGATGGAATTTGAAGATGATGCTGTTCTGAAATGAGATGGTTTAAAGACTTGTTGCTTTTTTGAAATATAGAATACACTACCATTGATATTATGATCCCATGGGCACTATGTCACAAGAGAGTGTGTAGCTACTAAATGTGAACTTTAATCATCCTTTCCATCAACTTGAAATAGAATAATCTAATATAAGGCTTACATATTTGATTGATCATGTCAAAATGCGATTGGCACAAAGCATGTTATTTTTGCATCTATGATGGTCGTATTATCACTCGCATAGCAAATATGATTGGAAGATGTCATCATGCTAAAGGATATCAGTGATCAGATTCTACATTACAAATTAGATCTTTCATCACGGAGGTTTCTACTTGACTGGAAATAAAACATGTTATGATCAAGGAAATAGTTAAGGGTTTACATGTGATTGGAGGTTTTATTATTAACTTTGGAGCATGGAGATCAACTTTGACACATTTGAGAGAGTACTCATGAAACTACATAATGACATGAGATATCATTTTCTCTTTTCATAACTTCTCATATAACACAGACCAATAACCGAGGAAATAATTTCATTCTGAAATTATTATTTCGTGAGATAATTAGCGTTCAAATGTTGGTATAGTATGTACACAATTGACCTGTATAGTTACTGGATCTAAAATGATATTACTCCTTTCATCCGTTCACATTATGCCTGGGTATTGTAATAATGTTCGCTACATATTCAGCCCTCCGCCGATGCTGTGATTTTCTCACTAAATAGCGGGATGTGAATGCTTTCGGGAAAACGCATTATAAATAACAAAATGCTTATAACGACAGGTGTTTTTCACAATGTAAATAAGTAAGTAGTACTACTGGCTGGTTACTGTAGTTTTAGTGATCGAATGAATCGGGCGATTGAAGGGATGATTGCTGGAAGCCCTCAATCATATTTCCCCGCATTCATGTTGATTTCATGACTCAAATCCAGATGAAATGTGTGAAATATCTCCGGGGTGACATGCTATGGGCGTGTCGTATCTTGGGACTTCGCAGGGTCCAGGGGTGGAATATCTGCAGGATGTCGATCTGCGCCTCTGAACTGCAAACACGGAGCCTTCGTGTGTGCGCAGTCGGGAGGTGCTAGCAGCTGAGACTTGATGCGTGGACAAAAGATCTGCTATGAAGACAGAGTGTGGACAGTACACAAGATTTACAAATACTAACTGATACATGATAGCGATGGACAGGCATGGTTATATTAGGCGATCGTATATATACGACCGCCTAAATTAGGAGACTAAATTAAAGTGAGTGTGATTTTGCGCCCACATGTTGCAACCAATGGAAGTGGATACCTATGCGAAATTGATGGATTATTTAATTTATTTTAAAATAATTGGTGTAATGTTTTTAGTAAAAATTTTTTAAGAGATTAAATTAATCTAAATTAATTTTTAGGAGATTAAATTGATGTAAATTAGTTTTTTAGTAAACTAAATTAACTTTTTAAATAAACTAAATAAATCTAAATTACAATTTTCTGTGGAGACTAAATTAACTAACTGGGAGTGACTATTATAACCATGCCGGGCGATTATTTACCATTACAAAAGCACTGGAGTTCTAGATTGATTTGCGCGATATGAAAGTTTAGCAAGGGCGTACCAACATGGCACCCGCCAATTATTTGCTCCGTGCCTCGTTGCATCCATCCTGCTGGCTCGGTCCACACTCCCAAGGCACGGCACACACACCCTCTCTCCATGTCGCCACGTGAGCAGCAGTGCCTCCCATGGACTTTTCTATCTCTCCCTTTTATCAAAACGTTTGGCCTCAAGCGCCGAGAGCAGTAGCCCTGTTCCTTCTACACAGAGCTATGCCTTGCGCAGCTCAGTCTTGGATCTACGCGATATTTTACTGCCCACATTAAACAAGGTCAGGATTAATTAGCGCAGGTTTAATTTTGCAGCTTTGTTTCTTTCATCTGGAGGGAGGGAGATGGAGTTGATGATATTTGCAATACCTTGACCTCTGTGATCAATGTCAGTGCTATGAACATGAGGATCACTAATGCAACTGCTATCCAATTATGCTTGGAAGATAGCACATTTTCGTGTCAATGATCGGTTGCTGCGAATGGTGGCTACCAATGATGTTTCATGTCTCAGGCTGCTCAGGCTTCGGGTCAGCCCTGAAGGATGTCGTTGTGGCTGCTTCGAGTAGTGAGGGAATGTTTGTAAAGCTGATGCTTCCATTCTGGAATATGCTGTACGACAGTGGGCCAGGATCTGCACGAGAAGAAGAAGAGAATGCTAAAACGGACCTTTTCACGATGGATGATGATGATTCACGATTGGAAAGCAAAGTCTTCTTTAAATCGATCAGGAGACAATTCTTATACGCAGTGAGTTCGACGCGTGGACGAAAGATCTGCTATGAAGACAGAGTGTGGACAGTACACAAGATTCAGGAGGAGTGCACATCAACGTACGAGCACAGCCGTGTCGTGAAACTGCTGACGGACTCTTTGGGCAGGGCGGGGGTTCTATCGTCCTGCAACCTCTCACCGTGATGCTGCTCGTTCGGTACTTGCAAATCGAACGACGTCTGTTCTGGCCCCTACCTTCGAGTATCCGGGTCCGACAGGCAAGTAAAGACATGGCTGCGATCAGAAGAATTGCAACTCAGGAATAATCCCTTGACCGAGTCCTCGCTCGATGCGCCTACTCGAAACCTATACCGACGTTAAAAGTGAATAAATGACCGAGACTCGTCTAACCATCTTCATCAGATTTGACATGGATCTAGTCAGTGTGTTTTGCAAGCTGCAAGTTCCACGAGCCTCGGGGTTATGAATGACAGACTTGAACCGTCATGTAGTAACTGAAGGTCGATCCTGATTCACATTCGGTATCGTTGACCTGAATGATTCTTCTCAACTCTATCCGGATTAAGGAAGGGAACACACGCCTACCTTTTGACTTCGCCGATCTCGATTTGGAAGCGAAGGACACTCACCAGCTTACGATGAAAGGCCACTGAAGCCACCAAGGCTGAGTTGTTGGCAGCCACGGTGGCCATCCATCTGACCTGAGAAACTGAAATCAATAGGCCATGCCATGGGAAGCAAGAAGACAGGCATGTTAAAAGTTCAGTGCACCAACAACGAAAGGACAGCACGACAAGAAGAAAGCAAATCCAGTTTGACTTAGACAACGATCTCAAGGGTCAAAGGATAAGATCCGAAAAATAGAAACTGAAGTCCTGCTTCGTGTGCTCGTAGCATCAGACGTTAAATAGCAAGACCGGGTCAATCGAGCCACCCTCCAATCAGCCTTGAGCCCCTTCCCCCTTCCTCCCTCCCTCCCTCCCCTTCACTATAAAACCTCAGAACGATTTCGATTCCCAACAAACACATTCATCCGGAGAAGGTACGTCTGAGGCCTGGAGCTGGTACGAGTCCGGTTCAGAAAATTCTTTCCGCAGTCGTGAACATCTGTCAGCTGCGAAATCACAACCATCATTCCGAGCTCACTCGCTGAATTGGGAGAATTGCTCGATTGGCGTGCATGAAATCGATCTGAAGACATCGACATTCGATTGCCTTCCGTGCCTTGCAGTCGCAGGCGGGAACTGGGACGGGACCGGAAGATGAAGGTTTTCCAGGTGGCGGTGTGGGTGCTGGCGGTGGGACTGGTGAGCTTCAGCGGACACGTGTCGGGGCAAGTGAAGCTGTCGTACCCGCCGTGGAAGCGGAGCGAGCTGAACTGCAGCTACGACGATTCGGCGATGGTGACGGATCCGGCGCTGATCTGCACGCCGAAAAGCGACGGAAAAGCGATTATCTTCTCGTACGATAACGACGTGCTTGCCGTCCGGTACGCGTACACGAAGCCCGTCCGACTGTACCGGAAGGGGACGAGGTACGCCACGTCATTCGCCACGTCGTTCGTGGTCGACATCCGCCGCGACATCGAGAGATCGGTGCGCCGAGTGTTCGGCGGCAGCTGGGCCTTCGCCATCACTCCCGACCAGCTCACTCGCAATGCCGGCCCCGAGAGCATCGGCCTCTTCCCCATCGACATCAACACCGGCAAGCCTCTCCCCGGCCCCAGCCCTCGCACTGTGGCGGTGGAGATCGATACCTCGCGCGAACAAAACAATTGGGACTTCCCCGTGCTCCCCCATCTCGGAATCGATGTCAACAGCCTCAAGTCCGTGAAAGTCGATTACTTGTGGAATCAGACGGCTTTCGTCAGAAGGAAGGTGGGCTACTTTGTGGATTACGATGCCAAGACTGAGGTGATGCAGGTCCGCGTGCAGAATATTACCAGCAATGGGAAGCTGAACAAGAGGAACTCGAAGCTGTGGCTGACGTACCCCAAATTCAAGCTGTCTGACCACGTGAACGAGTACTCGATCGTCGGCTTCTCGTCCCGAGTTCCTGTCACTGACGACGGCACTTACGATCTGTATGCTTGGAATTTCGAGACCAAGGAGGTTCTCACCAACAAGATGCACTAGTGTGCTAGAGCTTTCCTGGATTGCATTCCTCTTTCACAAACATTTTCCTTTTCCTTCAGCCGGCTACGCGAAAGTAGCTCGCTCAGCTGACATGAGCTGCACTGTTCTCCCCTGTCATGTCGCACGTCTCGGAGGCGATCTTAGACTCTCATGACATTCTGCTCTTACAGCTGATTCGCATGGCCTTTTGTACCCTACTCCTAGAGAGTAAGCGACCGAATAATTTATTAGCTAATTATCAATAAGAGTGCTTTGAAGCAGCTCAGATTCAATCTCAGCATCGAATGGACCGATTCTCGTTACATCTCTTACTTCCGTGAGCATCAATTGTTTGCATTTGTGCATGATGGAGATGAAAAGTGGGCAGATTAGATTAAGAACACAACCTTACCAGATGTTTCTTCTGGTTCATTCGTTCATACACAAGAATTTGGTTGTGAATCTAATACCCGGTGCTGATACAATGAAGCCAAAATTTTAAAACCTAGAACATGAGACAGCAAAGCTCGTCTACTAAGGCGGCACATAAGCTCTGATCCACGTTCATCCAGTCTCTGTTCGACGAAAGTCCAATTGTATAAAAGCCAAATAGAGTTAAGGCACGTCTGGTTATTTTTGGGTGGGGCTGCAGACGGACCCGAGGTCCAGACGACCGACGACAACTTTCTGATCTCACTCCCTCCAACTTGCAGGACCTATTATGGGCAAGGCTGCCATCGAGCAGTTCTGGCATTATGGCAATTCAATCGATACAGGCCACGGACTCTGAGGCCATTTAATTAGTACTGGATTCGAATTCATTCTCACAATAAACCATTCTACAGTTTAGGCTTCTGTTTTGTAAGTATCCTTAAATGCAAACGTTAAGAGTGCGGCGCAGTCGAATACCATCAACATATTACAGTGTTGAGTTGGACCTGCAGTATATAGTGACTACCTTCTTTTATAATAATGATATTCTTGATTTCATAAAGACATTGTGATCTAATATTGTAATTAATTACGACATTTTTTTGGCGTAAAAATATTACCAAATCGGATGATTTGTGTATTTTACTAACACATTGACGTAAAGAGGTTTAAAAAATAAATATATTTGATGTGATTGTTTGTACAAATATTTTCTCGTGGAATAGGAATTTAATTCAATTGTATATTTAAGTTTATCGATAAATTTACTCAAATGCAAACTTGACTTGGACTCACTGTTATTGAAATGTAGCATGAAATTCATCAAAAATAAAAAAATAATTTGTCCTACTTTCTGGTATGATGTTCATAACATTATAAATCTACTTACATAATAATGAAAGAAAACGAATAATGAAAATATATATTTAGATAATTAAACTTAATTCAATAGTTGAAAAAAATATTTAGAGTCATCATAAAAATCATTAATCAATTTAAATCTTTAAAATTAAAGTCAAGTACAAATTTAATTTAAATCTAATCATGTTTTTTTGGGAATATGAACTATAATTTTTTATCACTCAAAATTAAAATGAGAATTTTCAATTATAAACCAGTCTTTAACATTTATATCACAAGATATTTACCAAATGATTTGATAAATTAAAATTTTATTCATGCATGATATTGAGTTATAATAAAATAGATAAAATTTTTACAAGTAGATTTATTAATTAATGTCATCAAAGAACAGAATATTAGTATTATTTAATTATCAAAATTGTAAAGTTCATAATAGCATATAAACTTTATAATGATATAGATTTTATAATTTTGAAATATGAAGCACTATGTAGATCTATGCGTAAAGATTGTAATGAAAAAAAATATTTTTTTTAAGGGTTGAATAGGCAAATTTAATTATGATTTTTTTTACTGTATGTATATATGTGATAAGATTCTTGATAATCTCAAATTTCTTTACTTTAAAAAAACTGATTTAGTATTTTAATGATGAGAAAGACTAAACATGAAAAAACTGAGTATAAGAAATGTGTAGTTCATATATTTGTTGAGTTAAATGCTTGAAAGTTTCTTTTAAATGTGCATAAGTATTAAAAAAATTCTATGCAATTAGAATATTTGCAAAAAAATAATTTAATCAAATTGATTCAATTTTTCATCAATAAATAGACAAATGTCCGAATATTTTGTTAGATTGAGTTTTATTGCTTATTTCATCATATAATATATTGAAAATTTAGTTCAATGTGGCAATTTAAAAGAAAAATTAATACCATGACAAGATAGAGTACTTTAAATTTTCGTATTATTACATTGTGATCAATTTAAACTATCTTGTTTTTTTATATTTATGAAAAAATAAGAATCTTCTAAAATTTTAATTAATTTTTTCTGCTTTCTTTTTTCGTGAGATGAAGAAATGTTGCAATTATTGGGAGATTATTGTAGCTTTGACAATTTTTTCAGTAAAAATCTCTGACCTAAACCTACTAATAGTTTAAAGAAGACGAAATAATATGTAAATTTTTAATTCAAAAATTTTGCAACTTCATGAGTTAAAAGTTGATGCAAATGTTTTAAAAAATAAAATTAACGTTCGACAAAATAATTATGTAAACTCGATATCAAGGTATGAGTTTTACTTGATAGATATTAACTCTTTTGAAAGTAGAACAATTCGTTGCTCTTATCGACGGTAATCGGCATGTGGCACTAGTGCGCTGACTTTATAAATAAATGAGAACAATTGTTTTACAATTGGAGGTGTCTTCACTAGTCTGAATTCAATAATGCAAAGACTATAGGAACTCTAATATTCAATATCGAGGAGAAATAAGTGTACAATCTAGGAAGGTGAACATCTACCTTCAGCTGTAGATCCAGAAAGAGTGTATCACAGTTAGCATGTCGTATTGCTACAATTATTACGATCAATCATTACATGCAAAGAAATCCTCTACTTATCATTTACAAAATAATCACGAATATAAGGACCACATTATCACTAACCACTAATCAATCTTAAAACCAGATTTCCACACATCTCTCAAAGCATTGGACAAAAGTATTCGATCATGATGATAAAGTGGCTGAGAGCTGATTTCCGATCTGATTTTACTCCAGAGAGGAACATTGTCACCGGTCAATGAAAGCTGGTAGATGTCCGCTACTTCATCAAGAAGATGAAGTTGTACAAAGTGTTGGGTATTTGCTATGTTTCAAATCGTACAAATGAGAGACTCTCTCAGTAGGACTGGCTTCTAGTCCAAAATGAAAAAATGAATGACCACGTCTACTCTAAATCCATCGCTTACCTGGACTAAGATTGCAACCATCTGCAATCTCTCCAGTTTCTTGACTAGTTCACTCACTCTCCCTAGTGGAGATTTCAGATATTGTACATCCACCGCAGTCCGAGACAACTGTTTACATTGGAACCAAGAACGATGTTCGAAACTGGGAGAACATCGTCCATTCTCTTTTCATCTACACCAGATGAGTGAAGAAACAAAGAGATCTTTCTATCTAATCGCAATACAATTGGAATTTAAACCTTTGAAACCTCGTTTGCAACGTATGAGCTATCATCTGAAGTAATCATCTCCAGCAATACTTCACCGTTTGCTTGTAGATCGTACCTCCATGACCAGGATCCTTGGGGTGATAATGATTCTGACAGTTTTTCCAATGTACAAGACATCCCTGAAACAGTCCATGTGTACATAGATAAGTTCTCGACTTCTTGTTCAAGTTAGGCATGAATTTTACGCAGTAACCTCCTTTGTATTTGATAACAAGAGTTCACAACAAATATAGCAGTTGTGTCCGTTTAAGGTGACAGACACATTCACTCATCGATTTAGACATAACTTCACGGTAAACTTATCTAATTCTTGTAAAAAAGACCAAGGACAATTTGTAGCCTGGACTTGGAGCGTAAGTTAAGAAAACTACACTGAAAATAAACTTGAAGACAACGAAGCCTAGGCAAAGACTATAGGCGCCTAATAGCTTCCTTACGTTTTTCTAATCAGGAACATCGTCCCAATGTGTTCGATCATGATGTCAAACTGAATAGCAAATCAAAACACGTGAACGTGAAGCCATGACAAGAAGGTCATAACACAATGTACCTGAGAGGGAATTCGTCACAATCATTCGATGCCCCTTGGGCACAAAAAACTTCTGTGAACCCTGCAACCACTCCCAAAATCGTCAAAAATTGGAAACTGCACAACGTGATTCAGTACCTGTTTCTAGAGATAAACTGAATGAGATGACCATAGTGACCGCAGGTTCAGGGAATGACCACTAGAGGGTCTGCAGCTATTCAAGAGTCCTTGCGACGGAAAATGAGGTGAAATGGAGTGAGACAAGTGTAGAAACTGATGCAGGAACTGACGTACCTCTATTGTTACATTGTTAGCTTCGAATTCTGCATTATCTTCTAAAATAATCTCCAAAGATTCTAACCTACTGATCTTGTTTTGCCAATATATATTGTTCTTGCACTCCCAATCAACTCCTTTGTTTGTCACATTTACATTGTTCAATCTGCATTTGCCACACCTTCACGACCACAAGAAGAGTCGAATCAGTACAAACTTCTTTCGAAGACAGTATCTTACGAAGAGACTCAATTGAATAAGACATTTGGTCAGTTCAAAATACAACAAAGTATTCACAAGTTTGTTGGGAAAGGCTATCTTCAAGCTATGACAGAAACTTCTAGCTGATGTACCTCACGCCGTATTGAAGTATGCCTTCCCCGCTTTCATTGGACTCGACAGCGCCCATTACATTCGTAGCTCGGACTAGTAAACTTCCATCCAACTGCGCAATCGATCACACTGATGAACAAAATTGCTGGATAAAACAAAATTCGGGTCTAAGAAAAACTAAAATAACGTTGAATTTTTAGTTCTTCGAATTTAGAGTACCGAAAGTTCTACACTAACATAAAAGAATTGCAAAAGTTTTAACAGGAAGATCATCAGTAAGTACCTGCACATCTGTCCAAGCAAACTCGGATATTTCGAGCTGTAGCTCTGATCTCGGGGTTAAAGAACCTCCTTGAATCTGCAACCAAAATAAAACATAAATTCCCACATTCTGGCTAGATCTAAACATTTACATGACAAAAAAGGCGAGCTTTACTACAGTCCGGTACCTAAGGAAACAACAAAATATACTCGGTCAAGTACCTTTTGTGACACAATATCCCAAAGTGGTCCTATAGATGGGTGGATGAGAACGATGAATGGTGGTCCAGAATCAACGTAGCGATGATTATCCTCCATCTATCACAACCACATAGCGACTTAAAATGTCGATTGAAGGACGTCAAGTTTCAGATCAAATCCTGAGAAGTTCATCTTGGGCATTATGTTGCACTCAATCTTAGAACATAACCTTCGTTTAACGAGCTGAATAGGTTGAATGCTAAAAACTGTCTGGACTATTCAAACTTCAAACTCAACGAATACAAGTGCAAAATCACATGGTTATTTGATTATTTATTATAGTAATTTACCTCGGGCATGTGTACACCACAATGACTGAGCAAGTCGAAGGCATTCCTTGTGACGTCCAAGAAAGATCCATCTGGCGTCTGTACATTGCATAGAGGTGAGTCAAAAATAAGCCGGCAATACGAATTATTATATAAACCTCTTCTGCTTGAGCCAGAATCATATTATCATGTGCGTTTAGGGCAGTTCAGTTAGATATAAGCATCAGCGTAAAGTCACAGGTTGGTGACTTAGAGCAAATGGATGTAGAAGTTGCTAAGAAGTTGTAACACATTAACTCACCTGATGAAGAGAGTGCTCTCCAGGCTTCCGTCGTCTTTTCGCTGAGGACGTCACCTTTCTTCTTTGATTGTATATTACATATGTATCAAGTTTGTCTAAAGGAAAAAAGAAATATCAATTTCAGAAGAAGATTAAATACCTCCGTAGATCTGACCAACTAACAAGAGGGCATTGTTTGAAACCTTCAAAGCTACAAAAAATCTTAAAGGTGCAAAATTTAAGGTTTAGGGTTTACCATGATCCTTGGATGGAAGCCTGGAGGATCTTTTGTTCACCAGAGAATCAGCTATATTTTGCATAGTACACTCCAATCGACCGGCTAGAACGCTGATGAAAAGCGAAGACAGACTAAATTAGAATTGCTTCATATATTGCGATGATCTAAGTAAAGTTCTCGCTCAGGAAAGTAAACGATACAAGTTAATTGCCAAAAATTTAAAAATTCATTTACTTAGGCAGAGGTGCCCTAAGTTGACACTTTGGGAACAAAACTGAGCCTTCGGAGGTCATTGGAGGGACCTGGTCATCCGTACCTATGCTTGTGACCCAAATGGTCAACGTATTTCACTGGTTTTTTCAAGTTCAAAATCATTCCGGGTAACGAGGCAGCAGACTGACTGGATGCAATGTGCTCCACTGACGGCAGGTCCACAAAGAGAACATTGGTATTTGCAGGATACTGGGCCTGTGTACTGCAGACAAAAAGGATTTAGCCCCTTCAAATATGAGATATCTGCTTCAAAGGGTAGTTCAGACAGACAAAGATGAACACACGACATCCCTAGTAGTCAATCCCAAAGGATCGTTTTTGCCAAGCACCAAGGAACGTATACTCTTCGTTTCATACATTGGTATAAACTTCACTAACCTGCCAGGTGCAATAGGCACATCTAAGATTCCGAGCTTATTGAATTCTGTGTATTCTATACATGTCACTCCATACTCCCAACGACCATCAGGAAGCCGTCTTTCCATCAACACGTTGACACCTTCCGCAGTTCCCACATTACGATCACAAGATGCAAATCCAAACTTCTGCCACACAGAAATGATTCAGAACAGTTAATGTTTGTTCTATTCGGCTCAACGTTCCATTCTGAGATGAATTTCACAAAGTTTGTAGCGTAATTAGTAAGAGACAAATTAAATCTTAAAACAAAGCAAGGTTTCTCCAATAATGTTTCTCACCTTTTCATATCGAAGGCCCATGCCAGACAAAGCCAAGAGAGTGCAATCTGTTGCTGCAATTGGATTGCTAAACATTATCCAACAAAAAGCCATATCAATATGGTTGCCTTCAGTGCTTGATATGACAATCGAGGCATTGCTCTGATTTCTTCAAATTGATTGGAAAACAGGGTGTGTATGGAAAGTGGATCTAACGATGCCAATGGTCTCGGATGCTCCATGCAATCTCCACTTTCAAAACATTCCAATCCTTACACGAGTACGGATGTCGAAAGAATTATCACACCTGATTTGTCGGACGATGGCTGCTTTGCGATCCTTGCTTTGAAACCATTGGAGAATTCCCTCGTCGTAGGCTAATTTCCAGATGACTCCATGACCACCGGGTTTCAGAACAGCTTGGAAGGGGCCAGTAACTAACCACTGACCATCAGCAGCTGCCACGGTCGGTACGAGAGGCTGAACAGAAAACAACCCTAGGGTGTGAACTGCTGAGAGTAACTACAAAAAGTAGAATTACATTACTATCTTCACTATTCGGCATGATCCAAATTCCAATATTTGAGTCAACTGTTCTGTTGTGATTAACTGAACATTTACGTGGATCTACGAGAAAAAATCAACTGTCTTCTATGTAACATGGTGCACAACATAGGTATCCTGATCCTTGAATTTGAAAACTTCAAACTCCTACCTTCTAGTGAAATGGAAGGTATGAGTTTGACTCTGGTAGACAAACCTGTTCAAAGAGCCGGAAATTCTCCTTCCCCCGCCCAAACCAGCCATGACTTTTGCAAAGAGCCAATACTCGTTCATTGTTCTTCTTGGCAGCACTCGTCATTATCGCCACGGGTGTGATATGTTGCCTACCAAAAACCTTAAAATGCAAGAACTCCCTTGCCTGCGTTTATGAACAGATAACAGACAAACCCAGTGGTTTTAGAGAGACTGGAATAGCTTCAAACAAGCACAAGTGTAAAATCAACCTCACATTTTGTCACCGGATAGATCCAAAACCAAGTGTTCATGAGATTATGTTCGTGAATGTATTGGCCATCATCAACAACAAGGACTTCAAGGAGCAACACACCTGCAGGTCCCTAATAAGACCTTCCAGCAGCGTTCTACCGCAGTATGGTAGCATAGCTACAGGAAGACACTCTCCCGTTACTTCATCTACCAAACCCAATCGATCTCCAGCTCCTCCTAACGGGTAGATCTCTCCCATCTTTGATAATCCCTGAAGACAAAAGAGATATTGAAATTTTATAAAGCTATAATTGTCAAGAGCGAGAAGTTTTCACGAAAGTCCATCATCCGATATTTAGTGCCGAACTTTGTTTGAAAAAACGTTAAAATGTGATAATTTTCTAAATGGGCGCATGATACAATAGAGAAGTGAGTGAACCAACCTCGAGGCCCCAACTGGCAGCCTGCATGGCAAACGCTTGATCACTAGCAAGATCGGGACCTCTTGGGACGGAAAACCGCCCATTGGAAAAATCAGGGCCATCAGAACTTGGCTCTTCCCCTAATTCAGATGCCTTGATTAACTCCAGCACTTTCAACTGATACCTGTATTCAATTCAGAAACAGTATATAACATCACACCGGATACATAATACCGACGACAAATATTGAACGGAAATAAGTCTTCCTGAAAATAAATTGAGGAGAATGACTCGCCTAGCTTCAGAAGCTGTGATTATGTGCATAACAGAATTATCCAAATTTTTAGTCTGGTCTTTACCCTACAATGCCACCAATGCTGTCGTAGAATTTCTCAAGACGCTCAAGCACTTTTGTAAGATCTGTAAGCGATTGCAAGACACGGTCCTCCCCTCCATCACTAGGATCCTCAAGACTTTCCAAAGCTATTGTTTCTTCAGTATCACTGAAGTCAAGCATTTCATGGCTCCAATTCGTGATGAGATTTGGCATGCTTTGCCAGAACTGGTTACCGGATCCATCCCAATTCTCAATGGCCTTTGCTAATCTTTTCAGGACTTCCTTCACTGAACTGACTGGCTTTCCCTCGGTTGAAGAGATGGTCCTGTGATTGGACTCGTCTTGGACGAAGAAGGCGTCTTCCAGAGCAACGGAATAATCTAACAAATGATCTTGACCAATGGCAACCAGACACTTCAATACATACAGGCTTCTCTCGTCAAGCACCTTGCCTGCCAGAGCAATAGCTGGTTTTACATATATTCCGGATCGTCCAATGCCGTTAAATGCATTTTTCACTCGTCTGCTGGTCTCTATGGCCGAAATTTTTTCTCTCAAATTCTTGCATGAAATCAGCTGCTTCTGTAGCCCCTGTAGCTCGGTAATTTCGTCATCCAATCTCCATTTTTCTGTCTTCTCAGCATCAGGAGAAGGCTGAGTGATAGGCAACGTTGACAAGGCCAAGGGAACGTAGGAGCTGCGTCTTTGGCCTGGGCTCTGGACATCCCAGCCATGACCATGACTACCCCATCTGTCTTCGTCATTTCCGCCCTCGCAGGAAATTGAGCAACGTTGTGAAAAATCCCGGTTCAATTTCTGATTTCTTCTACCCCGCTGCAACAAAATCGTCAATTCATTTCTGTCGAGAAAATGCTTGGAACTACTCGAGACGAGCCATGCTCCACCATTCCAACTTGACCTTGAAGAAGGCACGGCAGCAGGATAGGGCCCCAAGCTGGCAAGCGACAATTCCCGCATACTGGCGGTGTGGAGCACACTCTGCAGAGCATTGTGTGTAGCCATTCATTCGATCTCTCTCCTCCGCGACCGACTTAAGCTTTCGTCCGAATGCACTACCGAAAGCTCTTCGCCCTCCCCAAAAACCCAAACCAGGACGTTCTGCTACAAAATTGCGCCACATCAACAACAGAAGCAGCAGCAGCAGTAGCAGCGACAGCGACAGCAACGAAAGCCACAACTTCTTCTCAATTCCATACTTTCACGATGCCGCGACGGGCAATCCCGCGAGAGAAAATCCTGCTCGAGTGCACGACAATGCTCCTCAACCTCGCCACCATGCGCCGATCTCGATGCCCCAGACCCGAAGTAGCATTCCAAATCCTCGCCTCGCAGACTCTCGGAACAACAAGAAAGCACTAAAAGCCTCGCGAGGGGCTAATGAGAGGGGGGAAACGCCCGATCATGAAAGGGATTCGTCTCCGCAGAGAGCCAAAATAGCAGAGGAGCGAAACTGTGGCCCTTCACGGGCGACCAGAAGAATTGGTGCAGAAGTCTGACGAGCAAAGTTCGCACACACCATCCGATGCACAAAAGCGAAGCGGGCGCTGCTGTGAGCATTTGCCCACCAGTGCGGGCCTGACGTGGCGGCCCGGGAGTGGCCGCACTGAATCACCGCGGTATATGCTGCGTGTAGCATTGCGAACATTCGCAGCATCGTATAGGGGCAGCAATCAGATCAGCCCCCGCACACTCTCTCTCGACACCATCGACCATCGAGGCCCGCGGGCGGAAACTTTGCGACTCTCCCCATGCATCCGCCTGTCAGTCAGTCCGTCAGGCAGGCAGGCACTGCGGCATCTGCATCTTCCGCCACCGCATCTCGAATCATCCGCTTCTTCGTCCTCTTAGTTGGTACGAGTTGTCGTATCTTATCCCCTCACCCGCGTCGCTAGGGATGCTCACGGCTCAGCTAACTGCTAGCCGGTTCATATTGTTTGTTACCCATCTAGCCGGTTATACAGCCGGCTCGCCGTCGACTTACCGGGACACAGGAACGCTATCCGAGGCCGAAAACTATCCGAAAAAGCGGACCGACTCTTATTTTCTGACCGAATATTTCGGTCTATTCATCCGAAATTATCCCCCCAGATCCTCATTTCGACCGAATATTTTTACAAATGCGTTTTCGGCCGATAGCCAATTAGCGAGACACTAGCCGGCTAGCCGAAAATTAGCCGATTTCGTGACCATGCCTACGAGTCGCACCCCGCTTTACCGTCCCGTCCCGTTGTCCTCCCTCCAACGTGTCGATCCCTCCACGGGGTTGCCTCCCTCCGTCGCGACGATTTCCTCCTTCCGTTCGTGAGACGTCCCGGGCACCACTTGTGAACTCGCCGCGAGCTGTCCCCATTGTCGTCCGACAATTGGACCCTAACATGTACTCATGCGCGCCTTTCTGCTCTTCGGCCACCACGTGTCCGCAAGTAACATCCGTCCTCCGGAAACGCGGTCCTCCGCTTTGCGGTACGGGGCATTTCCATTGGACCTTGGCCCAGCCCAGTAGCTACAGTACTGTGGTGAAACCATTTCCTTACCGTACGTAGAATAATCTCGGTGCCGGAAAGGATATATCTCGTTTAGCCCTTTGCTCTTTCCGGTGCTACTTTCCGTTCCCAGCGTTCCTCGGACGCCATCCGCTTCGTCTGGTTTGAACTTCGAGCACATTCAAATTCCAGGGCCGGGAGAAACGAGGGAAAGATCCTTCGAGCGCAAGAGAGTTGGAGGGAGCGAAGCGACAGAAAATCTGGTCCCTTTAAATTAGCGGGGGCCGATAGTGCCGGCGGGAGCTTTTGGATAACGGAGGCGTGTGTGGAGTCAAACGTCCATTGCAGAAACCAGCAAACGTCCACTGGGCCCCCTGTTTCCTCGACACAAGCAAATTTCAGAGTGATAATTTGTTGTGTGCGTGGGGGAAAGGGGGTGAGGATGTAACGTTTCATGTACAGGATTATGTATCGTCAGTCACGATCTGAGACCAAATAGAGAACTGACGAGCAATCCATGCAGCTCGAGAACATCGGAGAAATTACCTCAAGACGAGAAAGAAGTAACGAATAATTAATCTCCTTACCAGCGTTGGATAGCGTTGGATAGTCGTGTCGAGACGCGTGGATTTTGCTGTGGCACCGCACCTGCGAGAATTGTGGAGAACGCTTTCACTTCCTTTCCTTGCTGCTGCTGTTGTAGTTGTTGTTGTTAACGTCCCCAAAATCCAGGAGAGTTAGAGATCGAGAATCACAACATCACACGTCTTGCGGTGTCCGCCCCCGCCCTGCCTTCCTTAGGAGTCCAGAGCCCCCCTTAGGAGTCCCCCAAATTCGCTCTCGTCCCAAGTCGTTGCCATTGATTTTGGACACACTAATGCTCCTTCGTCGCTGGAAGCCACAGTGCACGGTGCACTTATTCCCCACGTCAAACTCCAAAAATCAAAACTCGTGCAGCCGCTCTTGAGACTTTGATTTTCGTTGTACTAACATGTGGATATGACCAAACCACATGAAACAGTTCTTACTCGACTCATAATTGGAAATATTTTGGAGGTGGTGAGGGGAGTGATATTCATTCTTCTTCCGATGGATTTCGCAAATGAAGATTTTATTCCATGGGTCTCATATTCTGAAGGACCACATGTAGCACATGTGGAGATTGAAGAGCTTCACGAAGCTTCCATGTATCAAAGAATGAGTATTAAAAATGGATACAGCTTTGCAAATCCCGAGGAGACATGCACGTGTGCTCGGAATTGCGAATCATGTATAAACAATAACAACTTCATGGTTCCAGTTTGCGGCAATAATTTGGGTTGGCATAATCGCCTGCACTCAGTGCTCTATCTTCATTCAAACATGTGGTCGCAAAGAGTTTGACATTATCACATTAGAGTTGAGGTGACTAACTCCATAGAATGGATGTATATAATATGAAAGTTTGGGTATGCTGCCGACAAATAACTATTGAGGTTTGAGAATTTTAAGTGGAAATATTCCGGTCGCCTTTGTTTCATTCAAAGACCCATGACAACGAAATATTATGAAACCATGATTGAGGCAATATCTTGAAATTGGTTATATGGTTTTTATTCATCCTCACCCCAATCATATATTCTAATAATGAGTGATTCTTGCTTTTTGTCAACGGTTCCGAACTAGACACTTTCTGTCAAAAATTCAACGTGCTGCCTATTGCGTGAAATTATTTAATTTCTGTCCTTTCAACTATCTTACGTCCTAGATTCCATTTTCTCCTTCATAATGTTTTACTAACATTTCCACCTCTTTGGAAATGGAAGAGAATTTTCCTTCATGACGGCGTCAAATGAACTGTAGGTCCGTTAGTTTCTTGGAAGATCACTGTTTGTACAAATTTTCAGATCTCTGCATTATGCAAACTGGGAACTTTTTTACAATCGAAAGCATCAGACTGATTTCAATGCTCTCAATGTAATTAGACAAAGATTAACCCTTTGCACCTATGCAACATTAAATCAAAATTGAGACAAATAGCATGGAAATCATCAACAAGAATACAAAGAAAGGGCAAAGAATGGGAAAAGCAAACCGGTTCCGAATGCCAAGAGAAAATATAGAAAAAGAAGTGCCAATTAGAAAGGAAAATAATGTGAAGACAGGTCAAGAAACCCCTACTAGATCCTAGTGGTAATATAAACGTAGATCTTTTCATGGATCACTTAAAATGTTCGAACTATCTATATTCAAGTGACTGCAACCAATATTAAGATCATAATCACGTCATCTAAAGTAATCGCTCTAATTTGTATAAACGTAGATTTTTCATGGATCACTTAAATGTTCAAACTATCTATATCCAAGTGACGGCAACCAATATTAAGATCATAATCACGTCATCTAAAGTAATCGCTCTAATTTGTATAAACGTAGATTTTTCATGGATCACTTATAATGTTCAAACTATCTATATCCAAGTGACTGCAACCAATATTGATATCATAATTACGTCATCTAAAGTAATCGCTCTAATTTGTATAAACGTAGATTTTTCATGGATCACTTATAATGTTCAAACTATCTATATCCAAGTGACTGCAACCAATATTGATATCATAATTACGTCATCTAAAGTAATCGCTCTAATTTTTATAGCTGTAGCTAAGGTTCTATTTAGTGAAAATGAAATATATTATTGAATGGTATTATATAATGAATTAATGAATTTGTAATGTAAATCACTAGAATTGCAAAATATGTCACAATATACTAACACATGGAAAACTGTATCCATATATATACATTGTCAAAGCGAGAGAAATATATAAACTCTTGTACTATGAGCATACATGAGAAGTTAATGGGGATAGGGTGGGAAGGAATTTGCTATTCTGCTATAGCTGCTTATGTGTGTGTGCAGATGTTACTTCACATTATCTGATTCCTCGGTTCTTGCAAATGTGGTTGGGAGGCCGTAAAATATGCTTCTAATCTTCGTAATCTGTAAATGATTGCTCGATCCCCACCTCCATGAAAAGAAAACAAAAAAATCAATTTGGAGTTCATGATGAGAAAATTTGACTTTACAGGTCAAATTACTCAAACTTTCATGATATCTATGGAACTCATGCGAATTCATCATACTTGGCGACACTTAACAAAGTCATGCAAATATTGGCTATCCTTGAACAAAATAAGGAAGCTAGTCAGTTAGAAACAAAATGGAGTCACAAAAGTTACTTCAAGTATTGATTTTCAGTCTCGTGACATGTATCAATCGCATGTGTACCAATCTGCAAAAGTGAAGAATTCAAAACCTCCCTCGGAATTCAGAAGACTTTTAGATATAAAAAATCAATACCGTAAGACAACTGTGTCTTACGGTATTGATTTTACATCTGAGATAATGACTGTCCACGTTGTAGCAACATGGCTATGTTGATGGTTAGGGATTCGGCCCTAGTGAAGCCAATGTGAAGGGCAGTACCCTAGGAGTAAGTTCGAAATACTCAAGAATCCGATGGTTCTATTTAAGTTGCTGCATGGAGTGCACGTAGAGATGCGCATCCATCGTCTTGAAATTACGAAGTTTTATAGTCCCACTAGGGAGTGTCGAGGATTTGAAACAAATTTCTGTCTCTAAAAAAATAAAATCTGTCAGATTGTACAATGTCTTGTTTCGCGTGCAGAGAGATGAGCTCTAGGACAGAATGTGTTCTCCAAGCTTCTAGGACTACATTCTGGGAATGTGGGCAGTGTTCACCAATCTTATAACTGATTGATCGTTTCTGAGCTCAATATTTGTCCCTTGTTGACAACTTTTTGAGGAAGGACAGTTGAGCCTATGATGGAAAGAAGGATTCGAAGTTATGGACAGAAAGAAATCGACAGGAGCCGGACTCGGGATCTCCGTATCATGGAGATGACCGGCTGATCTAAGTGGCAATTTGGAAAAGCTCTGAGAATCGGTCACCGAGGGAGGAGTTTTCTCGAGTCAACATTTGTCTCGTGGTTACGTCATGCATTCATCAGACTCTGGCAATGTGATTGTAAAACAAAAGGGAAAAAATGACCGGCTCGTGTGGAGTGGTTGTTGGCAACGAATGGTACGGATCTATTGCTCTCCTCAAGTTTCACATTGCAGAATTTGCTACAGAGCACAGATTCGCATCTCCACTTGCCTCTTGCCAGTAAAAGGCATGTGTCATATATAAGAAATACCTCAATGACTATTTCGGATTCCTTCAGTTTTGCATGTGTACAAGACAGGGGTTCGGGTCTACTGCGGTTCTCATAGTTTATTCCTTTGCTGGTGGCAGCGCTTTGTTCGACGTGTGAAGGGCGAATATTTGTTCAACAAGAATATAAATACTCGTTTCTGATACTTCTCAACAGACTTGGGAAATGGACAAATCAGATCAAGAACGCATCGTAGAGAGCCTCCTTCATCATACAATTCACGCCACCACACTGACTGGCATGAGGAAGAAGTGACAATAATCTTCGACGCTGAATGGCCATTCATTCATTCATGGGAGAGAAAGAGAGGAAGCCTCGAGCAAAAGTTGAACTTCATCTGGAGCCCAAAGAAGCTTTCTGACTCACTATTTAGTGTGAATAGCAGTTTTCTGTAAGAAACTTTACATTTTGTATAAGATCTTTTTCTTACATTACACGAAGCCATGGAACAAATTGTGTGACAAGAGCTTTGAGGCTCCACATAATCTATGAACTCTTGATGGTTGTTGTCTGAAACCATTCTGCTGTCGTCAACTTTACAGCAAACGAGTTTGGACCTCGCTCAACCTTGCCCATAAGAGCCAATTCAGGTTGGACAGTCTCCTCACCAGTAGAAATTCAACTGCTAAACAACAAAAATGGGGACAGGATCTGTTCCGTTTGTTTTCTAACACTCATTGTCCTGGAAATCCAGTTGCATCGTCGAGAAGAGCTGCTGAGTCCTCCAGCACGATTGCCCCTTGTCCAGGTCTTGAACAGATTAGATAACCAAGCTCTCCTTTCGTTCTCGGTATGTCAATTCCGGACCACTCGCTTGGAGTAGGGAGGGCTTCAATATCGTCGATGGTCTTGATTCCTGCAAGTTCCATAATACTCTGGTCTCCAACCACATATCTGCACCGGACACAAGTAAGACATCAGTTAGGAATATCAGCTTAATATTATTTACATATCTTATTACATTTACTTTAGCCTATAATAAGGACAAACTAGTATCATTCACTTTGATGCTTAATATTCTGAACCTCGAGGGAACCTTTCAATCAAAACACACCTTGAAATGTCGGCATCAGATGCAGGAGGGAACAAGTAGAGTATGCGTTGCAGCAGTGACCTCGCAACCTTATCATCAGGAGCGAAGAGAACTGCATTCGGACCAGCATCAAAAGTGTACGCTGCCTGCACGAACAAAAAAGAAAAACTAATGGGATGAAATGAAGCGGACCTCAACATACAAGCTGAACTCATTCAACTTCATCAAATCATGGATTATATCTTCGCATAATCAATTTGTTCCATTCTCAACATCAAAATTGGAAGAACAATTGACTTCAGAATATATACCTGAGGGGTTCCCTCACTAGCATTCCACTTCTCCACAAGACCTATGAGTCTGCAAAGAATGAAGATCAAACGTTCAATAACTGTACCATTCGAATCAAAATAAATGCGATCAATTCTTCATTCATGGAAGTTAACATTTCAAACATGCAGCGAGTAAACAGATGAACGGCTGAAGTAAATTTGATTCCAAAGAAAGAACTAGATGTACATCGTCCCCTTGCAGGGACAAAGAGCTATTCAAGAATGTATCAATAATGGGCCTAATCCGGACTGGCAAGACTAGGGGTCACCTGCGAGAAGTATCGTTCATGTAAAAGATAGGAGGAGATGTATCAAGACAGGTGGCATGGAACTGATTGCTATCTGCGCACGTCAGCTTCGCAAATGTTGCGAAGTCGCGTTTCATAATCGCCTCCTCCATCTCCACCATTCGCTTGGGAACCACAGACTGCTCAACATGCCCAATTAAGCATTAGTTCCTCATAGAGACAAGACTTGACAAAGTTCTTATTGATAGCATACGGGGGTCTCAGATGCAGTTGAGATTCCAAAACTCTTTCCCTTGAGACTCAAGTTCATGAAGTATCTAATCAAGAAAGAGGACCTTAAAAGACAAAGTTTTTTGATGCGGTCAAAAGAAGTAGGAAGTAACAAAGAAATTGAATGAGATATATATATTTAGTCACACAGATTTGACAAAGACAGGCACCTGTGCACGATGTTGCAGAAGAGGACTTGTCTTAACACTCGTCTGCATACCTGCAGTACTGCTAGTTTCCTTTTGACGTGAACTTACCTGCATTGTGAATTGGATCAAGAAGGTATGTGATTACAAATGAGAACCTTCACTTCACCTAAAATAGTGACAATGGTTTGGCAAGGTGATCCATACCCTATCCAGCATAACAATGATTGCGCTTGGGACTGAACATGAGTAAACTTCCAAGACAGTACAACTGAAAACTGAAATCGTTGCGCTGACGTACCACTGCAATAATGATGACAAGATCCTTCCAGTGGTCCTTCTTGACGATCTGAGTCGCAATACTATCACTCCCATCGTCCTCCTTACTTTTCAAAAACCACCAAGAGTTTATACAAAGACGTCAGTTCATTTTGATCTCCAACATACATCACATGTTAGACCCAAAGCAGTCCATGCAAAGATTATACGAGGGACACGGAACGCAACGGTTACTAAACTCTGAAAAACAGGGATATTTCACATACCTTTCCCATGTTCCACTTGACAAAACCACCATATAGACTTCGACAAGCGCTACCCGATCCAAGACTGTTGCAGGATTTCATCCAGAAAATTCAATATGTTTTCTCAGACATTCCAACATAGGAGTCAAATGATCGAATCCTTATGCTCTCACATCCAGAGGTTGTGATACAAGAGATAGTGAAAACGGTGAGCGATTGTCTGCAGCGCACTCAGAACTTAGTACATGAAACATAACCAATAACATGAAAGAAGGGAACTAGCCAATAAGCACAATATAATTTTGCCTCATGGATTTAGCAAGAGTCCACATGACAGCAAATCCAGATAAGAAAGAAAGAAAAGAATGCGACAGACCATGTTCACAAGCGTCAGAGGAAACCTCCCAGTAGCCTCGAGATTATTGCCTTGTAGAGGTACAAGGCAATTTTAGTCCACGCACCACAGTGCATGAGGTATAGGGACAAACTACATGAACACTTTCAACTAAAAAAGGATATGAAGCTATGAATCAACGACACGACTTCACCGGCGCCATCACGGTGTCAAGGTAGCTAGGCAAGAGCAAGTAACCCTCGTCACTAGTTCCTGTAGAACCTGAGATCAGCCTGGTGAAGTCTGGTTGTCCGTGCTGTTTCATTTCCGTATGAGTTTATTTTGAACAACCGATCAGTAACAAGCATTCATCCACCAGCACTTGTAGTCGCATTCTTGACACAGGTGGTTCAACGCTGAATTCGGACTCAACTCGAAGTTCATGGCCTTCTAAGGTAGAGACCACTGGAAATTGAGATTGTGCATCATCAATAAACTCTGCTGCAGATATTGCTCAATCGTACTAACATGATTATTCTACCAATCAGTGGTTGAATATCCGCGTATCTTGGGCTAAGTAAGCCATCTCGGCAGGACTTCTTTGAAGCTTACTAGTGATTATTCGAAAGGTCGCAAGTCGTGCAGAAAGAAGATGTAGCAAGACGACAGAGTACAATAGACTATCAGTAAAATTTCAAGGAACGAGTTTGTTCAAGGCGTACCGGGCAATAGTGGAAAATTCTCCTTCATAACTTTCCTTGGCTCCCATCAAATGGGCAAGGGCGTAAACTGAAACGCGTGGGCAAAGTAGTTTAGTGGCTCAATAATTGCAACCCAAAAAATCGAGATGAGGTTGAATTAGTTCTCAATATATAATTCTCAGATGAAGAGAGTGAGGAAAATGTACCTAGACAAGCAAAGCCAGCAGCAGAAGAGGCAAGTCCTGCAGCCGTGGGGAAATTATTCTTGGAAGCAACGTGGACGTACAAATCTTTCCAGGACTCTTTCTTCACGACCAATCCAGTCTTTTCGTCAACAACATCAGTTGCTCTAGAACGGATCTGTTGCAGACAATTTTTGTATCTCTTGCTTTCCATTGAAACTTCCTGTGCGCGACAATCAACCTCGTCAGCTGAAGATCAGTCTTCGACAACGTCGGTCCTGCTCAAATCAAACTTCCTTCTCTGTAGATACAACAATCTCCAGACCACACTCGAGAGACTCTTCTCACAGAGGACTTCGGCACTCAGCTTCGCCAACCTCTGGCAGCAAAATTGACAGATCGCAAAATCTACCAAGAACGCACGTAATTGCACTGCAGCTCCTACAATCCGGCGAAAAAGGCAGACCGTATCACAATCACCTTGCCATTGAGCCAGAGACGATCGGAGGTGAAGGAAGGACTGACGGCGACCGTAGTGGTGGCAAACAGATAATCCAATGTCACACTGATGCTGGAATTGATGGGCAGAATCAGGTTCTCATCGCGCTTGCCCCAATACTTAATCACAGCAATGTTGCTGGGCGCCCTGGCCGTTTTCATCAGCACCCAGTCATTCCCCTCGATCCCCATTTCCCCCGACCAACCAAATTCTCTATGCGCAAAATTCCCACACTCCTGCCGCAAAGGCGTCCACGACCGAATCGCAAGCGAGCTCCTCTCAGACGACTGATAGATCCAGCTCTCCCGGGAGACGATTAAACCCTGAACAAAACACGAGCCCTACGCTCCCTCTGGGTCCCAATGATCTCTGTCCGAGCACCGACTCCCAAAAGTCTTCGACCTCGTTCGTCCTGACCTTCTTCTTCGATTCCCCGCACGTGCTGCACTGCCCAGCCCTGCTCGCAATGCAGCCGATGCAATTCCGAGGACCACCGTCCACCGCCAGGAGCGCTCACACGGATCTACATTGTCCGTCAAAGATCACAACTCTGAGCCAGACAATATTCAATTCACAGCGCAAGATGACGAGACTAAATCTGAAGGACCCGACAATAATCAAAGCGAGAAGCGCGAGCGCGATTCGATCGATACCTGAGACTCGGAGGTGCGACAAGTGGCCCAGAATGACGGACCCGAGTCGTTACAATGATGGAGTCGACGAGCGCAATCGGAATGATCGCATCGACTCGAGGCTCTGGCCTTGACTCTTGATTCGAGCCCAGCGGCCCTTCCTCCCCCCGCGCAGCACGAGCCTCTGCTCCGCGCTCACCCACTTCCGCCGCCTCCCTCTGTAAATGTTACTCCCCCTGTCCGCAACGGGAGTCAGGCTCCAGCGCGATATCCTCTGTACATGTTACTTCTCCTGTCAGCAGCGGGAGTGAGGCGCCAGTACGAGATCTACTTCCCCCTCCTGTACATGCGTCTCCGTGCATATTTCGTGTCTATCTGAACTTTTGCTTTTGTTCACTCTACGCGCACTTCTTCCCCGTGGCCTAATTTGATTTTTTTATTCTTTTCCCAGAGCATTTTTCGCCATGGATTATTGGAAAGGTCATTCTTTTACATTTGATAACTAATATGTTGGAGTAGTATTCGGTCGTCCAAGGATTTTTCTTGCTTCTCAGCCGGTGGCTTCTCTGAGATTAGACTATCTGGTTTCGGGTTCTCCATTGTGAACATGCTGTCCACTTGTAATCGGGGAGTACTCGATAGCCGATAGCATCTTCGGGCAAAAGTCTGACGTGCGTGGATCTTCAAAAACGCTTCAATATTTTTGTGTTTTATATTACGTTCCTTGGTGTGTAGTCGGTGTTCACGAATATGTCTGTCTTCATCTACCCTCGGCTTATAAAGCATGCTGCTTCATCTACAAATGCTTATTCATTTATTTACTTTTGGAATCACGATCAGAAGAATAGTTCGGTTCAAATCTTGAACAATGTACTTTTTAAGTTGATGGAATGTATGTGGAAATGTTAGCGAACAAAACGTTCATCCCATTCTCTTTCAAATTATATGCTATGAAGAATCAACACAATTAGACCCCCCAAAATTAGATATGAATCACAAGCGAGACTTTACATCACCACATCTTTCAGTACTGTTGTATATGATATAACTCCATGTGTTTTTTAAACAAGTTTGGAAGCAGACATAATTAAAACCTTTATAACAAACGAAAAGATTATCTGCTTAACAAATCAATTACATCATTACCTTTTCCATTTTCCGTCAAATAATGTTCACTGTTGTTCACCGACTAACTAACGAACAGTACAGCAAATATGACGTGCAATGATAGAAGTAGCTGAATATCAAGGTGAACACTTTGGTGCTTTCAATGTTCACATACTTTTCAACCTTACAATTGTATGTATCTCTAACTGACTATATACCTACGACTAATGCATGTTGCTCAAATGTTGATGCATTATCAGAACTTGTCATGACTAAATGGAGAATGTATCTCACTATTCACCTCACACCGAATTTTAATATTCCCAGCTCAGAGTATGCAGCTAGTGGTGAAGACATTGCAGAGGGATGCAAGAAAAATGTAACTGTTTTTTCATTACCAAATATGTTTTGAATGGTTCCTTGAAAACACATGGACAAATCTGTTTACCACAAGACGGGCGATTTCGATTTTCCTGGTGTTCATTACCCACGCCTCTCAGAAGGGTACCAAGACATCCAGCCCTGACTTCTCCATTTTTACTTGCGAATCTCGTCATCCGTACACCAGCCGTATTCTTATCCTCTATAAGATCACACCTCAAACTCAAGTGGAAACATTTGTATCCTGGATTGCAGTGACAAATGTGATCCATATAAAAGGTGGGTGTAACTGTTGGTATGTCCGTTACAATTTACTCCGTGGTCAGCTAAGTGAGCAATGGAAGAATACATGAATAATGTGACCTTGTGAGTGATTGGTGAAAAGTGGATAGACTTTCATAGTCTCGAAAAGATGAGCATACAAACAAACGATAGATTGAAGTCATTTTATCGAGATAGGAAGGATAACGTAGGCAAATTCCTCGACTGGAATTGTATCCAATATCTGGTCGGGGATGTTTTACTGCGGTAAAACATTAGAGATCATTTACTACATGCATAAAAACAATTTTACGGTCGACATGTGACATCTTGTGACCCACAAGAGCGAAGGTCAAACCCGATGTTCCGATCTTTCAAGGGTTCACCAAAAAGTTGAATTCCATCTGTGCGGTTGCATTAAGGTCCGGTGTACCCTGGTTAAGTATTGAAAACATTACATTTACTTCTGAAGAAATGTCTGGAAAGTAATCATGTCAAGACTCCCACAAGGGAGTGAAGGTGCTTCATCCATCTTGCTTTCGTGAGAATCAGAACATTTTCGACAGTTTCAAGATGGACGAGCAGACTGCTGCGTCCGACAACAAGTCACGCTGGCATGCCACCACATCCTGCTCAAGTTGGTACATGATAGCTCCCTACCATCGAAGCCAACCATTACACACTCGAAGAATGCACTGTAGAGTTTATTCAAAAGAAGAAGGATATGCACATTTTGCAAATCGCCCCGGGTCCTCCTTCCGACCCCAATGGACCCAGCTAAGGTATTGATTTACTACTCAAATTCAAAATCTGCAGTGATTTAACATCTTACAAGAGTTTCGTGTAAGATCATTGTGACTATTCCAACGAGACATTGAAGAAGGACCAAGCAGCATATCTTAATCACAATTTCACTGCTAAATACTTACTAGATCATTTGAACTGACTTGTCACTCTCAAAAGTAGGTCCTTTTGCTCTGATTTCAAGAGATTCTCTGTCTCCCAGACTTCCTGGAGCTCCCAACCGAAAACCCTGTGAACATGTACACTGGCTTTAGAACGCTTCCTCACTAGTTTTTTCAATCTCAACACAGGTTTCGGGCTAATGCACGCTGGAGAGTGGCACGTTGGCCTTGAAACGAAGGTAGCACCAAAGTCGCAGATCACAACAATTAAGCAAGAGATATTTTTTAGTTATGCGGTACAAAACTCTGTACCCGCTGACAAGGAGAGACAAAACTCCAGTACACCTGGACATTTCGCACTTTTGGTAATTCAGGCAGTTAAGGTTATCAAGAGATACAATATACCACACCAATTCAGATGAAAGAGAATAGAATTCAAGCACTTCAACAACGGTGACGTAAGCTAGTTATGACACAACATTCCAGGGCAATCTATACAGAGATAAAAGACATAAACACACTGAGCTAAACACATAGGCAATCTTCCGTTAGATTGACTAATATTAATCCATCAAGACTACAGCTTCATTCTCAGTGTACCAATCACAACAAGCCCTACGCTCTATTCCAAGACAAGCGATGCAATAAGGAGCTGCGTAACAAACCTTTGAGCCGCTTTCATAATTGAAGATTGCCTCGCTGTCAAGCACATCCGAGCAGCGTGAACCCGACAAGCAAACATCCGCCATCCATCAACAGCTTAAGTCGACAAGAACCAAGCTCTCCCAAGGTCTTCCTTATCTCAAGGGGCTGGCGTCACCCTTACGCGCCCTTAGGACAGAGAGTAACGATTTCCGATCAAGTAAACCCAGGGTGGAATCCATGGAACCTCTCCCACCATCCATCTTCTTACGGCATCTCTTTCGTCGTGATACAAAATCCTAGTTCGAGGATGAGAAGAAAGCCTGACTACAGCGTGGGTGAGGCGAGGAAGGAAAGGGAAGGACAAACTGTGTAAAATCTGACAGTTTAAAACAGTAGACACCAGGAAGGATGCACTAGACACTCTTTTGATAATCAATCTGTGAGCTTCAGACAGGCATCTATCTAACAGAAAGGCTTCTCCCGTTCTCAGGATATAAGGAGGCGATGTTGACAGCTGCGAAAACAAACCTCGTGGCTTATCTTTGCGACTCACATGGAGCTTCGATCATGCTTTCCAACCTCTATCATCCACAAGAAAGTCAATTGGACTGCACATCGGGAGGCCTCACTCGGTTATTGTCCAAGTTGAAAAAGACCCGATTCTCGAGAGCACTTCTCCTCACTCTCTTAACTCTAGTCATCCCCATTCAGGCATTCGGGGCCTAATCAACACAAATGTATATCATCGCAGATTTGATATACAAGCGACTTTTATTTCAGCACATCTAGCAGCACTCCACTAGGTGAGCAGATTGGTCTAAAGTCGATGATGAAATTGGTCGGCAAAAATCCGAACCCAAACCTTCCACTTGCATACTGCCAAACCCTTCCCTCGATATTCTCGGCATCTGACCGAGATGCTCTAAAGTCCAAACCTGTTGTAGGAAGGGTACACATCATGCCAACGACTTCCTCATCACATCCATCCTGGACATGATACTTCCCATTAACACCAGTAGGTGCGAAATGTTGCCTCTCATCAAAAGAGTGCTGCTCGTGCGGCGATAGAGGGACCCTGATAGTCGAGTCAGACTCAGCTGTCCAGCACACCGAGCCACTATGGGTAGTTCCCAAACATTCTCCTACTCTCCTGCACACAATTCCACCCTTCTCATCATACGAAAGAAGCACAAAATCGAGGCCCTTCGAGTCGCAAATTCCCTTCCAAAGACCTTGAAGGGGCCGGGCTCCTGTAGGTCCCACATCCCTAACTTTGACAAAATGCTCAGGCTCACAGGCACGGCGAAGAATGGCACGTTCTCGTTCTCGTCTTCTTTGCTTCCTAGCTATGCGATCCCCGCCTTGGCTAGTCACTTTGCTCGCCAAGAATTGATACATCTCGTACTGAAAACTCCCAGGTGGACTTTGTCCATACCTATCCATCTCCGAGGACGATCCAGGTGACGAGGGGCTCAGACTAGTCGCTTCTGCTACACTACCACCACGGGAGCCGAAAGAAGCGACGACTGCCGCTTCCGCGAGACTCCTGTTCCCATAAAACTGGGGTTGCTGTAAATCTTCCATAACAATATGCAGCTTCCCCACAAAATGCAAATCCACAGCAATAAGCCCCGCGGGAAGAGGCTGGTGCTCAAGGTCCCGGTCCGGGTCCAATTCTTCGAACGGATTTCTCCTTCTAGATTTTACAGGAGAACCTTGGCTCGAATGCTCGTTCGAGGAACACATGCCCTCACAAAAAAACGGTGTGATCGTCCTGTCCGGATCGAACACACAGACTTGGGCCCCAGTCTGTGATACGCCAACCCAAACAAATGGAATTTTGCAGACCTCGTAGCAACTAGGTCGAGATGGTGTCACTCGGAAACCCACGACATAATGCGGTCCCCACTCAAACGTGACGAGAGAACCATGGCCACCGTGCCCCACACCTCTCCAGAATCCCACCAGATTTTCCAACTTTGTCAAAAGCGCATGCAAAACCTTGAAGGGAACCCTTCCTCTTCCCCACTTCTGTACCGACGTTTGAGCGCCCCACTTTCGCTCGCACATTGGAAGCCAGACTTTATGGTCATCTTTACAAAAGGCTCTCAAATGCCGGCACACCGCAGCACAGGCAACAATATCGGAGGGCGATAGGAAGGACAAAACTGCGGACATGCAGTCATCCCCGATATTGCACAAACTCCATTCGCCCTGCTGCTGATGCTGCTGATGCTGCTGCTGCTGCTGCGTTTCGTCGTCGGAATTCGGAGACGATGAAGAACAAGAAGAGAAAGAAGAGGAGATTCTAACCTTGGCTATGTCCTCCATCACATTGACGGCCTTCCCTTCTGCGCTCGAACGAGGCAGAAGCCGACCAGGCCCACCCCCTCGGGCAACGCATGGCGAAGAGACGGGCATGAAACCTACTTGCAAAAATCCCAAAATCGCCACTCGACCGCTGCCTTAAACGACAACAAAGTCGTCCCCTGCTCCCTCCGCCGATTACCTTTCCCCGGCTGACGAAGAACCTCCGCCCGATCTACACACCCGCAACTCTCAGCTGCCGAACTCACGAATGAGCAAAGCGATCCCGCCGCGTGGTCGCTCTCGTCGCTCGACAAATTTCGCTCGTTTCATCGACCACGAAGCATCACAATCATCATCCACCTCCACCTCACTCTACCTTTCCCTCTCCCTCTCGACTCTGCCTCCCTAACCGTGCGAGCCTAAGTGCAAATCTCCAAAGCATCAGCGCACATCGCGGCCTTGCGTGAGACGCACGGGCCACGGGCGAGCGACGATCGATCCCCGAATGAAGGTGCGTGCACCGCAAGGCAAACGAGAGTTGACCGGCATGTGAGCATGCTATACTCCCCTAGGCTTTCGCCGGATTGCTGAGCCCGAGGACCCTGCTGTCAAAGAGCTCCAGGAAATCGCCGTGCGCCCCGACCTTTTCGATCCGATGCTCCGGGGAATCGGGGATAGGTCGTCGTCGCCAGCGCTCCGAGACGACACCCGCTCGTTCGATGCGTAAATGCTCGCATCTCGCTCACCGCTGCGCAATTCCACGACCATCCATCGAACTGCAAAATCCGTGCGAACCCCGTCCTCCTCGTCCTCCTCCTGCTCCTCCCTTGCGGCGGCACACGAAGCGCATTTGCCACAAATCCGCTGCAGCCTTCTCGCGCTGATCTTTTCGGCCTGCAGCTTTTCGTGCACATGCCGCTCGCTCGACGATTCCGCCTCCCGCTCCTCGTCCTCGCCGTCGAGACCCGCGGCTTCCCTCACAGCCTCTCCGTTCTCTGCTCCTCGTCGGCGCCATCTCTTTCCCTTTTATTCCGTCGATTTCGGCCGAATTTATCCTTCCTATCCATAGCTCCTTGCACGAATTTCATCCTCCTTATTTATCCACCGGTGCCTTCTGAAAGCTCTGAAAATCCTCCCTCCTGCGGAAAATTTATGTCTTATAAATTGGTCTCTAAATTATTTGATGGACCATCATATTCTGGATCTTGTTTCAGAGACGAATTTCGTGATGAAGCCTTTGTGTTTCCGATTAATAAATGCACATGGAGGTTGAATTATTCTATAAATTTATTGACAGTCTCCAGTGTGTAAGAGGTTGTGTAAAATATGATTATTGATGTGGGTGGTCAATGAAAGGATTAGATGGAAGATGAGACGACTGCCAGTACCATAATAATTAGCAAGCATGCGGAAAAGAATAAAACGAATGTTCTTTCATTTTTCTTGGCATAATATTTTCCTCCTCGGAGCTTTTCCGAGGTCAGAATATATTATGAATTTCTTGGCCGTATCCAAAGTGTAAGAATTGATAGAAAATATGATCATTGATATGGATGGTGAAAGATGATACGAATGTTATTGCCATGATGAGCGTGAATGCAAAGGAAATGAACGAATTTTTAAATATTTTTATTCTTTATTTGTCCTCGGCCTAATTTTATTCTCCTCGGAGCTTTTCTTGAACATGCGGTACGCGGTTGAGAGGTTGAGGTGTAGCTTTCTCTCCGAACGTCTCCGTACTGCGGTCACTGTCTGGAACCAGGGGTTCGAATCCATTCTGCTGGATTTCCGCACTGCTTTTCTGTCCTGTACCTTTCATGCAACATCGGTTGGTGTATTTCGAGGGAAGGACAGGAGTTGGTAACGGTGATCCTCTGCGTGATTCTTCGACGGTGGTGGCGCAGCCTTGCCCTCCTCCTGTAAGCCACATTTCTCGTTCTTGTTCCATGATTTTATTCGATTCCTGGATGATTAGCTTTCTACAGGGCTATATTGATATGATTATCTACGTTATCATGTTTCCGACTGTGACAACAAAGAATCTAAAGAATAAAAAGCGTTCGCTCGATCATAACAATAATGAGAGATAGATTTGTAAGTTTACTGAAACGCACGGGTCGGATTTCGAAACTGCATGGAGATGCAATTCATATCAATGTAGTATTTTTATTGTTAAATTTATTTTTTACACTGAAAAGTACATGGCTTATTATACATAACTCCGTTTTTCTAACTTTTCCTTTGAAGTCCGACACCTCGACTTTGTCTAATATTTCAGTCGTAGAACTATGATAGTCACACCATCATTGTCTTCTCTTACGACTGAATACATCATTTGGGCAATATTTGTGCTGATTTTGTTTTTATTTTTATTTTATTCCTTGATACATAGTTCTACAGTACTGGCTGGGACATACATAATATAATAGGCCGAATCCATAAGTCGTGTAGAATATAGTTCTAAAGATGTTAATGAAACCCTATCAAGAAAATAAAAAAACAGTTTATTGTTTGGTGATAGACGAGAAAAACTACCTTTTAATCTACGTGACTTGAAAATAGTTGTGAATCCACTTCACTTTAATACAAAGATATACAAAGCGTTGTCAAATTAAATCTAAGAGAGATGAGTCTTTAGTGGGACAATAGCCAATCATATGAGTCAAGACACAAAAGAAAAGTTATCGCTTTTGTATCACCAATAAATAAGTTGGCATCCCTTATGGAAAGTATCCATCAAATAAAACATGAGACAAAATGATAAGCGTCATGCCAAAAAAGACATTAAATCTATAACAATGAAAAATTTTCATCAGCTATTACGAGGAAGAATCCAAATGGTAACATGAATTCTATGAAATCACAATGGCAACTATGTCTCATAGCACCAAAGAATCCAATTTCACAAATCAAGTATACTGCAAGGTCTATTTCAAAAACCATTGAGTAACTCATCTTTTGAAATGTCACCATCTAATAATCTATACAAAATAATGAATACCTGGTGTCTAAAGAGAATAATGTTTGGATAGTTCACTTAATAATCTGAAGAAAGTTCAAGATAAACATTATCTGCCGTCAAAGCCAACCAATTATAGCTGCATCAAGTCCAATCTTAGAGTAATATAATTCAAATTTCCATGCTTAATCCATGAATTGAAGAGCTTCATGACGTAGCTCTATTCCCAATCCATTTAAGACAGTAGATGATCATCCCCTTATTGGCGCTACAAATTAATAAATCCTTGGAAATTGAGAAAAGACCGTGGTTGTCAAATTAGATATCAACATTTACATTTAATTTAACAGACGACTTAACATATTCAAGGTAATATTATTGACTACTGATTGGATGCATGTATTAATATCACCTATTCCTGTTAAAGCAATGACCGAACTCCTTGCTACTCCTCTTGTAGTTACATATGGGTTAGTTCTGTGTCCAATTAGAGTGCGTATTTGGTTGGTAACATTAACAAAGTGCTCACGTCAGAAATTGGGGAGTTGCACGAAAGAAGTATATTACTCTACATATAAAAAATCCGATAGGTCAGGAATATTAAAACGCATGCTGGCTCTAAGAGCACGCAACCATTGCCAAGAGATCTACAAGTTTAAGTGTGGACAGCGGTTCCATCTCTCGAGGTGATATTGCAATTGGACTAAGGTTTGATTCCAAAATTGGAGGCAGCCGTGGAGCAAGCATATCTCGCATAACAGTCACTACCAGGCCAATATTGTTGAGACTTGAACGCTTTATTAGGTTAAATTCGCATATTATCTCCCACTGTACGAGGGAGGGAGGAGGTGTGAAATACGCCCATGAGGTGATATAATTCGTGATAACTACTCTGTTTCCACGTCCTCTGACTCGACCTCTTCGGTTTCCTTCTCTTCTGGAGGAGGAGCTTTCTTGAAGAACTCTGTTTGTGGGAAGAATTCGCGATATACCTGCACGAATCGACAACATGGAAAACGACGAATTGTTATGCACTTCAGGATTGAAACTGCATGGATAGAAGAAGAGAGCAGAGGAGTTATGAAATGCTCCGTACTTTTTGTTCCACGTAGATGGCGTTCCTACGAGAAACAGTTATCCTATTCGGAAAACAGTACTCAAGAAGTTACAACGTGCAAACGTACCTTCTCTGTTGAAGATAAGATCCCCTCGCAATCCAAAGCTCCGTCCGGCATGTCAAACATGGCCAGTCCTGGTCGTGCCTGCAAGATGCAGAAAGTTCAACGAGAACAAGAATTATTAGTTATTTGAATAAGTTTAGTCAACACTCAAGCAGTCGACGGTGGGTGAGGGTCAATGGTTTAGATACGGGCATGGCAAAGTCAATAAGGTTTGTCTTTCAGCAAACTTGCTACATTACCAGTTTCCTTGCGTCTGTATGCAAAGCCTGTTTGAAGTAAACGGACCACAGTATTTTGGGCTTGGGAGCTGGCAAAAATTCTTCATTCGCCTCCGATGAAACCAAAGTTCCTTCCCCCGGTCTTGACAAGAGTATGTCAATGGCTGCTTTCAATATCTCATGTCCATCCGATGCATCTGAGCATAAGGTTGATAACTGAAGAACGAACCTGTTAGAACAAGCAAGTATATTTAGTTAACCTTACGTCCAAAGACAAAGTCTGTTACATCAATTAAGCATCTGATAGCAACCTAAGAGGAAGCAAAAAGTCTCGGCGCTTAGAAAACACACAAAACAGCTAATCAATCAAGAGACTTCAAGCCTAGAACATGCTGCAGTCCATGGCCTCAACTTTTAGGGGTGAAGTAAGTACGAAACACCGTGGACAGAGTGAACTTACTTTCCATCTGGGCAAACGGATGCAGCACTACTCAGCTGCAAGGCTCGTACAACTGTTGAGTGATTTTCAGAGATCACTGCAAGAGACAGGTTGACATATGATGTAATGCTTAACTTTGAGTCCCAAAAAAAAAAAGCGAAACCCATCGGAAAAAACTGACGACCGATCAAGAGCGGATGGACTTATCACAAGCCGGACGCATTTAAGAGAATGGTGCGTGGACGTACATTTGGGAGGGAAGATGACCAATAGAGTGGTCTGTCCTTCGAAAAGAGATTTATCAGTGATACATACGTATCTGGCCACTTTCGTATGAGGCCCTTCTGAGGAAGACAAGAGTGCAGGTTTTTTTGAGGACTCATCACCAGGTTTTTGTACACTTCCATTCTCTTCTTTGGCTAAAGGAAGCAGTCCACCCTCCTGCTCGCGTTTCGGTACGACACTGGGCCCCATAATCAGTTTCTTGCTATACAAATGCTGGCCGGTAAGAGTCTGGACGCCTCGGTATTCATTGCATTCCTGTATATTGACGGCACAAGTTCCAACTGACCACATATAAGACCCTGCAGTTGTATTGTAAGTGATGAGCGAAATCCGAATGAAGAAAATCCTCACCGTCAGAGCTGCAGCACATAGAGTTCCAAAAATAACAAGCGTACAGTGAAGCTAGCTCTTCAAATCCGCCCCATATATTTAAGACAACGAGAGAAATGTAGCATACCTTGTCCACGATCAAAGCCTTGATGGGTCGGCGCAAAACCTAGAAAATACATTTTGACCCGGAAGATCAGAACACACCAAATTGACTTGCAATCTCGATAAGGATATAAACTTGCTAAGGCCAAATATTTCTTCGTAAACCACATAATGGAAGTAAAATGGATAAAACGGTGAGAGCTTAAAAACGTCCACATACATAAAGGGACCCATTGACAGCAGCCGAGCGGCAAAACGCTTGAGGAAGCTCTCCTTGACCGTAAAGAGGGTATAAAAATGCTGTAGGTGCATTTGAGAATCTGCACCAGAAGGTTGATCGTGTTTGAGTATGTAATAATCTGATGTGTCCAAGAAATATACTGTTCCTGTATGAGGAACGTGGTGAGATCCAACAGACCCATCCAAAATCCTTCCTTCACACGTTACAAAGTTCCCATACCCTCTAACAGGAAGTTCGTGATGTGTGAAGAAAGCAGGTTCCCTCAGATGTCTCAGTATGCGGTTAAGGTGCTAACTGATCCTCGTATCTCACCAACTAGCTAAACAGACGCAAGCCCCAGCCGACGCTTATTGCTCAATAAACCGACCCCGTGCCTCGTTTCGGGATTCTATACGAATACTGCATGCGCTTTTGCTTCAACTGTGCCAGCATATGAATCAAAGTGATATATTAAAGCCATGACTAGCTTACCGGCCGACGGACGAGAGGTACAAAGTTAACTTTCGAAAGCCATCCTCAGTCTTCAGAAGAGTGGAGGAATCCTTGGAATCTTGATCAGTGTCCACAAGAGCTATTGCATAGAGTATGATTCTGCGCACAATCACAAAGTCAGATATCAGGGCCAGTTCCCGCCAACGAACATCCAGCAGCTGACTTCACCTTACAAAATCTTCCTCAGATCTATCAATCCTCAAGCCAATATCAGGAAAGCAAAAAGGAGCAGACCGCCGCCGCCGCCTTCTTTTCTCTGATTGAGAATTCAGGGAAAAAGCTGCGGCCATTGTTACGATACAAAATCTACAGACAACACAGGTGAGGACGCACAGAGTCCACCACAAAAATCATGGCCTCCAATAGGTGCTGCTCTGTACGATTGCATAGAAGTTGGCAGATTTTGAAGGCGCATGAACTCCACAAAGGGACTTTCGAGTATCTCGCGTGAAATCTCCGCACCCTCAGCATTGGCGTGATCAGTCACGAGCTTGAAGAATCTCATCAAAAAACGTTTGTCAGAAAGACTCAAAGATTTGTCCTTAAAAACGTCGGCTCGTGAGGATGGAACTGCAGAAAGAACTGTCCCTGTCCACATGTAGGTGGCCTCTACTCCCTTGAATTCCACGTAGTTACTAGCTCCAGATCGCAACAGCAGATTCACTAACTGACTTCCGCAAAACGTCAGTCTGGGTCCGGCAAGATCTAAGTTATAAAATCTGGAAGCTCCGAGATCGACTCCTTCGATATCCTTCAATCTGACGTCGGAGTATAAATGATTTTCATAATCTACTTCGACCACTTCTAGCCCTATCTCTCTTTGGTCTCCAGGACGAGCACTCTCAGTCTCCTCATTGCCGGCCTTATCACTCTCGGCGATTGTAGTTCCAGAAACATCATTCCCCTTTCCGTCGGGATGATCGGCCCCAGCCCCCGTCTCATCATCAGCTCTCAAATCACACGCCGTTCCTAACAAATTACCAGAGGAGGCAGTTGAAAGTGGAGATTCTTCACACTCATCTGCGAACGAAGAATTGGCAAGAATCGGAGGCGGGGCGAAACTCCCTCCCGATCCAGCCCAAGAGCGGAACTGAGAAAAGGACAGGGAGGTCCAGTGAGCTCCATAAAAATCAAGATGATCCAAATGCAAAACACTGTGCCCAGCGTTAGCAGCCGCAGCTGCCAAAATGGACTCCGGCAAACCCGTCCCGAGCACGATCAAATCGAATGTATCCGGTTCCACCAGCCCATCCATTTCCATACGTGCACTCCCTCCTCCCTCCCGTCCTCGTCTCGTCTTCTTCGCTATCGTCTTATGCCCCGACCAGATCACCGCCCAGAAGAAGATGCTCCAGAAGCGCCTCGAAGCCGAACACGAAGTGAGACGGCAGAGCGAGAAAAAGCACGGGAGAAGTTGCGATGGTCTGATCGAGAGATTATTGCAAAGGCGGACCGCAAGAAGGGAGCCCGATGCAGCAGCCGCGATGGAGGACGACGAGAATGGGCTGCGCAATTCGAAGGAGAGAGAGGTCTCTCGCTCGAGCGAGCAACGCGACGCTGGCTCCCTCGTTCAAACCGAGAGCGCCTTCCCATCCGCTCCGCTGACCTGTCCGGCGCTGTGCCGCTCCCGCGGGCGCGGACGAGGACGACTTCTCCCCCGATTGGCCCGAATCTGTCTCCTTCGCCTTTTTTCGCTTCTTTTCTCTAATTTCGCTCTTTTCGCTATTTCGCATACCCCGACTTGCGCCTCGAGCGTCGTAAAAGGTTTTCTTTCGCTGCACATTTCGCGGAATTGTTTCTGAGGGAACTGCTGGAGAGGTCCACTTGTCGAAGTCTCGGTCTCGCTTGCTGCCCCACGCTCCTGTTCTGCTGTCCGACGGCCAGCTCTTTTTGCCTTTTCCCGTTTACCGCGATGCCGTCTGTTTACTACCTCAACAGGCCAAAAACGTTAAAAGAAACCGGCCTCACTAAAACAGATTAAAATATGTAAAATAATAATGTGTATCATTTTTAACGATATTTTAGAGTTTTTTCGGTGAAGTGGAACGATAAATTTCTAGCGGTTGATCTCTCAAAAATTACAATGTCACCATAGCATCTTGGATTGCAAATCATAGTCGGTGGATTTGAAGTTTTTATCCGGATAGGAAATATATTTATTCCAAGATCACCTGCGAGGCGTATTTTCATACACCTCTCGACTGCTCCTTCCAATTTATTTCATTGTGGGAGCGAATGGTACGAGCATCTACACCTATTAGCGCTAATACTAAACTTCCAGAAGGTATATAGGCTTCACTGCAAGTGAGGTATTTTCAGATTAGGGTTAGTGGGAATGAAACCAGAACCTGGAGATTTTACGCCTGCTACAAAATCGCCTGAAATGAAGTTGCTATTCTTTTTTAAATACTGGGCATAGATTCAACAAAGATGTGAGAATTACGACTACAGTATTTCGTACTGGTAATAGAGGCTTGGTAGTCAAGCTATCTTAATTTCTAGTTCTAGTGTCTGGAAAAGTGCGGACCCCAAAACCTGCATTTGTCCAACGTGCAGAGCTCTAGAATAACCTTGTACTATTTGTCCCTTGGTCATATATAAGAGCTTGATGCGTAACCTTATTGTTTAGTATATTTTGATGAATGAATAAATATTTTCCGCCTTCAGTACTTCATGGCTTATCGGCCTTGAAGTCAACATTACTTGGATTGGTGATGCTTGTTCAGTACACTGCGATCCATACTCATGAGTACGGATCGTAGTGTACTGAACAAGCATCACCAGAGATATATCTCAGATACACATATAGGATACAGGCCCATGAAGATTAAAAAAATAATAAATCATATAATGAAGAGATTCGAATTCGGGAAATTCGAACTAAACTCAATTCTTTCAGAACTGAAAATATGCCAAATAGTTACTGAAATATCTTAACTTTCTTTCCAATGAATAATTAAAAAAAGAAGTCACCTTATATCATTCAACGATTCAGTTCTACTACTTATAGCACTAACTTGTATGATACAATACATCATGTCTGAAATACTGTAGTTATGAATACAATCATATTTCCCGATAACTTTCTAGTCTTTCATACACTCTCTAACGAACCGAGTAACCAAAAGTACAATGCTGCAATACTAATATGGATTGAGCATATTCTAGAGAAATTGGAAATTGAGCAACAACTTGACCCAAAAAAGAGAAGTGCTACCTTCAAGTACTAAATAATATAACAAAATTTTTAAAACAGTGGATCCTGAGACTAAACTGCCCACGCACAATTTCAGCAAGCAAGGAATAACGTTTGGTGACAATAAGTTCATTGATTTAATCACCTGTCACGAGCCCAGTCCTCATGGGAAACTTTGGTCGAGTTTTTCTTCATTGTAGTGGGTCGTGCTCATAAACCTCATGCATCGCGTACGTTGCCACGTCCCCCTTTGAATGACTTGAATCAGAAGGCAGAGTCTAAGTTTCCTCGACTACTCTATTGTCTCCATGCGCAGTCTTCACTTTGGTAATTTTCTCGCTTAACGCAATCTGATGACGTCTGCAACCACCTGCGTGTGGCCAGGTTCGCCAGACTTGGGCAGTCACCTCGTGTTTGGATGTGATCCTCTCTTCTGTAAACAATCATCCGACACTTAACGGGACACTCGAGGAATCGTCAAATAAAAATCACCCTCAACACTCAACTGCAGACAAAGGAGATTTTCCGCCTCAAGAATGGCTTCAGCTCGGTCATAGGAGCTGAGAAGAGTTCGTGTGCAGGATCAGGATTAGGCGATTCCGACCGACGGTACTCACAGATCGTATCATAATGGCGTAACACCCATTGTCACCAAAAGTTAGAAGCTCAAATTAGGACAGCGAACTTGTGGACCTTTGTTCTCTTTCGGCAGCCAAATTTGGATTCTGCGCAGAGTGGAGCTCGACGGAGTAAAGTAACTGGAAGGGAAGGGGAAGGGAGGGGGAGCCAGCGGACACGACTTCCCGGACTCTGTGGTGCACATCAGCCTCCCTGTCCAGTCATTGGGCTCGATAGGATATACTGCAACTCTCACTCCCGCGTCCCTGTGTGGCATTACCGAACTGCTCGAGGAATCGGCAAGTCCCGACCTCTTGAAGATATGCAGCTGGAATCTTCGGTAAGAATTGCAGGGAACCTGTCATGAGTGAACTCGTGCACCTCTCACCGCGGTTTGCGAACAATTCCTCGTAGACATCTCTCGTCCCGTCCGCTGTGAATGTAGCAGAGAACCACACACACCCGGGGCTGGTCTGGGCTACGGTTCGAGTGACAATTCCCAGCGGAGCTAGCCGAGGGAGTTGAGGGAGCAAAATGCAATCTTTGGCGGGGCTTCCGTGTTCTGCCGCTCTCCTCCGCTCTTCGGTTTGTCCCTCGTGCAGCCGAATCGGCTCCAGCGCTGCATCTTCGCGAGCTTCTCAACCTTCTCAATCTTTCCAATCGCATTCCTCCTCCGGCCTCCCCTGCAGGACATGGAGAAATCTTCAATCCGATGCCCCGAGGAGGACTCGCGCTCGAGCATCGGGCAATGACGAGCAGCAAAATTCGGCCGTGACCACGTCCTCCGAGGACGAGAAGGAGGAATTGGCCGCGAAGCTGGCAGCGGCCGAGGCCGAGGCCGAGGCTCTGAAGAGGGAGCTGGCGCTGCGGCGAGCGGGGTCCAAGGATGGCGACCTGGCCAAGCTGAAGCCGGCGACTCCCGAGAAGCGAATCGACGGGACTGGATTCAGAGAAACCATGTTCTCGGTGCCCGGGCAGGACCAGAAGCAGCCGGGCAAGAAGTGGGGGCTCACGGAGGCCGAGCTCTTCCTGTCCAAAGGGGCGCCGACTGAGGGCATGGGCCTGCAGGGCGAGGCGATGGCCGAGGGCGCCGAGAAAGTGGTCACCAGGCGCTTGATCGGCGGAATCGGGCTCGCCGTCGTCGCCCTGGGCCTGGCCTCCGTGAAGCTCCCGGCCATTCTCAGCAGGCCATCGAAGCCGCTCTTCTTCTACCTCACCTACATTCTGCGGCTCAAGGAGACATTGGAGACTCTGGAGGCCACGGGCTCTGATGCCAAGGTCGTGGAGGCGCAGCTGGCGCGAGCCTACGGATCGTCCGACGAGCTGAAGGACAATTTCTTGAGCGCGGCCGCGCTTCTGGAAGCGGGCGACGTCGACCGGGGCACGAAGCTCTGCTACGACGTTTTCGAGTTCTTGTTCCAAGCGAATTCCAGCAAGTACTTCGATGATTTCGGCCAGCCCACTCCCGCCCAGCAGGCCGAGTTCCTCAAATTCAGCCTGCAGTCGATTCAAGCTGCGCGATCCAAGATTCAGGAGTTTTTACGGCTCGTCCCCGCCGATGCCTTGGACGCTGCCAAATTACAGCTCTCTCGATAAATTTGTACTCTAATCATCATTTTTGTGAATTAAAAAGCCCCATTTTCTTCGAGAATCGAAGATTCCGCTTTCTCTGAATTCTTCCGAGTATCGTCTTTCTTGGAGGCCTGATTCGGGCTTGATCTCGTTCCTGAGCCATGCGTCTCGAGGAAGTCCTGTCCTCTGAGTTAAACGTGTTGTTGCTGTACTCCGTTGCCTTGGCCTCCATCCGTAGCGACCATAGATTGCTTGTTCTTTTCGTTCTGCAAGGAGGAATGTTATCCAATTATATCAGTTTCACACTGGGCAAGCAAACTTATCAGAGTTTTCCGGAATTTTTTCGGAATTTTTCTTTCGTTGAGGCATCCGACTGAAGAGCTTGCCAGAAAAATTTGCTGTATCTCTTATTTTTAAATTGCCATTGCACACCATTGCAGCATTGCTACTTATCAACTCTGACCGGCGGACATTTTCTCCTAATGAAAAATGGAGAATGTTACGTTCATACCAATATACAATACTATTCAAGCCAGATTCTGAGTTCTTCCAGACTCCGGAAGACGTTCTGATCTCGGCGTCTCTGAGTCTGCTCAGTTGTGTCCAGAATCTTCAATACTGGAGGGCTGAAGGTCAAAGTTGTTGCGAATCACTGCCTCCTGAATACAGGGCAGCGTCGATGATCAGCCACAAGGCTGAGTCGTGAGCCTTTTAATGGATTTAGGTACAATGTCAGGATATGAAAATTAAGACGATAGAAGGAATGTAGACCGAAAAAAGATTTCAAAAGTAAAATTGAAATCAAGAATGTTTATCACCATGTTGGCAAGCACATCTTTTCGGAAATAAAATGGGATAATACATTTGGAAAAGTCGCTTTAAACAGACATGGGTTTGAGAATGCCCTGTAGAATGCCCTGTTAACTTCTCAAGTGCATTACGATGGTGCATTATAGTCTTTACGAATTTGAATAGTGAAAAGGAAATATCCTCAGTGTGCTAAACAGTTCACAATATTTTAAAAGAATAAGAATAGTTGGCTGTTTGCCGTAACACTGACACTTCAAACAGTATGGATATTCTTCAATTTAGAATGCAATGAATGCAGACATTTCAAAAAACTTCTTGAATGTTGCAGCCATTACATCAACGCATGGTGAAATCATTTTCTTGATTTTAGAGATGTTCAACAAGTCTCGTCTCTTGCCGGTAGAAAATGATTCTAAGTGATGAAATCATTCTACAAATGAAAAAATACGCCTCGATGGTCGAAGCCAAGGAACAAAACTCTTCAAATCGGAAGATGAATAATGTATAATATCAATTTGTAATTTAATAACATAATATACGACATATAATCCTAGCATCATATAAACCCATCCAAAGATATTCTTGCACGCTAACTCGTAAAACAAACTTAGTTTCATAATGGTGACAAAAGTCAATTAGTCGACGAAGCAACACTCTACGGGGCCGGCAATTTACTAGAGTCCGAAACACCCGAAGCTTTAGGATGCTTATCGGGTGAGATCAGACATCAACTTCATACTTTTTGAAAGTGCTCAAAGTCTCAATATTATTTCGAGGTATTTCGCTTGTCTGAATGCAGACTTTAGCAATATAATTATCTACTGAACTACAAACATTCACTACATAATGTTAGGTGACAACCACAATAACTCGACCTACCTTTCAAATTAGAAAAACTTCTCCTCAAATCGTTAACAAGGGGTCTGCGTACCAAGTAATATAGCAAAAAGGTGCTCAAAAGTTACACGTTTGAGCTATACCAACACAATAATAAAAAAGGATTAGAGTTACTAATCCATGGCATACACAGGAATTCTCATACATCCAAAGTCGGCGGAATTACCATAGTTTAGCCAGACACTGAGCCAAAAGTTAAAAATCACGTTCGTGTACTGTAACCGACATTCAATTACAACATGGCTCGAATCGGCCAAATCTTATGTGCATTGCACATGTTGACGCAAGAATGTTGTCTAGATTAACTGCTTTATATGAAGCTGTGATACAATGCTTACCTGTACAGCATTAAAATCACTTCAAAGATCATGGCCAAGGAGTATCCGATCATCAAGTTCGAGTCTACTGAGCGCGTCGAGTGAGATGACATCGCCTATAACTAACAGCATAACACCTCTCTTGTTGTGGAAGACCCACAGTGCCAACCCTTGAGCCGTACCTGTCGCGTTCTCATAACGCTACTTGGTACTCATCCCTGTAACCTAGCGGGACCTCAGCCTTCAGGTTACGGAGGCGTTGTGAAGGTTGGAAAGAATATGCAAACTACCTACTTGAAAATTCTGTACCTAAATACATTCATCAGCTCTATCTCACATCAGTGCCAGGAAACCACGAGAAGTGGCTATCTTACACGTGCGGGAGGCTCAGAGATTGCTGACAAGGTTTCAACGAATTTATATGTGGATGTATAGTCATACATTTCCGGATAAATCATGTGAAACAATCTGAAAGTTAACTGAGGAATCAAAATTCATTGTACCCTTCTCCACTTGCGGCTTCCTCGGACGATAGGGGCCTGTTGTGTAGTTTGCTTCGTATCCGTTTGGTTCTTACCACGTCACTGCTGTTAGAGGGAGAGTCATCCTGCAATAAACGGTCCAAAAGCTTTCATGAACGGCTAGCTTCATGAGCTACAATACACAACTTGTCAGTCAGGAGTATTAGCTAGAAACTTGCATGTCCATCTCGGACTTTCCATTTCACTCAAGAAACAAATTACACTCACCTTGCTGGACCCTTTCGAAATATCTTCATCATCGCCTAATCGCAATGGAGAGGGTCTCCAATTCGTGTTTCCCCTAGAGACTTGCTCTGCCATGGAATGCGATGGTCTCCAATTCACGTTCATTGCTGGCAGCTGCTCCTCAGTCGCAGTCATTACATCGTACATTGCACCATCTGGACTTGCCCGCCCAGCGTCAATTTCGTGCTCCTCCAACTCGACGTTATCTGCAGAAGGGGAAGAAATCTCTCTGGAGGCTTCCATAGTAGCCAGCCTGGAGACATTTGGACGAGTGGCCAGATTGGACCTTCTGCCAGTCTTCACTGACTGGCGGATGTTGTATAGAGGAGTGTCATCATCTTCATCTTCCTCAACCTCATCGTGGTCGTTATCTGATTCTGAAGGTACCTCTTCTATCTCGTCTTCCTCGCTAGAGGTATAATGAGCTTCAAAAAGCTTCTTCCCTCGGACTCCTTTCTTAGCTATCCGTCTTCGTGACCGGGCTGGTGGTGGATGTGCAGCGCCTTCCTTTTCACCTGTGAGTGTCAAACCATATTCTATTCAGCTTCAATAAATTTTACCATTTTAGAAAAAAAAAATTGTTTTGGCAAAAGCAAAAGATGATGCGAAAGAGGATGAATGTGAGGTACAGCTACCAGAAGGCATTTCGTGTTTAGCACTCTTCTCACGAAGCAGTTCAACGAAGGTGAAATACGGACGCCATCCACTTGGATCTTGGTCTGTGTCGATCCCCCGCACTCTTGGTTCGATATCTGAAAGACTGTTTCAAAACGATACGGTAAAATACACATGAATATGATGGTATATGAACATATATAAGACGAATTTATTCTAACCAAAGGATAGAGTTAAATAATTAACCACCTTACGCGGAAAAGCTTTTTTAATCCACAGAAGCAGACCAACGAAGAGTAGAGTTTTCTATACTTTGACTGAAGCCATCAGTTGTAAACTCGGATCCTCTATTTATATACTGTTTCATTCCTATATCAAAATGACCAGATATTAAATTGTGACAAAAAATTAATGTTTCTGTATTTCAACAAAAAGACTGTCAAAAACTCTCAATAAGTTACAAATTATATTTAGCAAGGGGAATTTTCAGCCATATTTCAGGTTCCTTTGGGAATTCCAAGTATTACCAAAGAAGGGCGTATAGTGCATATCATCTCCAATAGTGTTCAGTGAATACAAATTTCAAGGCTCAATCCGAAATTTGATTTAAACCCCAAGCAGCTTTCAACTATGATAACCTCAAAGTTAGGATGGAGTCTTCTGAAATATATTACTGAACCATACATACAAATAAGGACACATGTGGGGAAAAACAAGCTCGAAATGACCAGAAAATATGGGTCGAAAACGAATATACTGTAACACAATCGTTGAGCCGATCCAGGAAAACTATCATTTCTACATGGAAGATATTCCGTCCTGTCCAAGACTTCGGACAGTATCCACACGACATGGTGTCCAAGGTCTCGCATTACGACCAGAACCAAGCACGAACTTGATTGGTTAACCTCGCAGAAGAGCCAAGAAAGTTGCTAACAAACTGCCTTTGAATTCAAGCTTCTATCAAGGTCACGAACTAGGTTGCCTAACAAGTTGACTTTATGATAAAGAGAAACATATTACTCTTCTTGTCACTATCACTGCATTACAACTCAATCATTGGCTGCAGCAAATGAAGCAGAAATAAGTTAAGGACAGCTATTCGAACACATAGGGTAGAGAACACAGAAGTTTACATTTCTCGAATGTCCGCAGCCGGCAATTTTAGAGCAAATTGTATCACACCGCCTTCCAGGAAAGAAAGTTGCTTGGGAGCGTCATAAAATGCGTATTTAACTCCCCCTTTGACTATCTCCATGATGCTGGGTCTGTATTTGGCACGAGCCATACCAAGAAACGAGCTTGACAAACGCACTGCGAGATCCTTACAGGCTGCAAAAGATGGACTCTTTGAAAGGTCGTCGTCACTTCCAGAGACTTCAACCAAGTGCCGCTGATAAGCCTACGACAAGAAGGTGGAAGTGCAGTTCAAACAGACATTAGATCTATACATCGCCACTTTGGAAGACATACTGGAGATGGCCAATATTGCTAGAACTTAACAGATCGATTGCAAGTAGACGACAGAGTACAGTCGTCACTGCAGCTGCTAGACCAAAAGGTCAAAACATTAACAACAGATCAGATGAACAGTTTCATGTTGAGGAATCTCACTCGTTTCATCGCATTCAAGTAGAGACCAGACAAATCATCTGCATGCAACTGTTGCTTCACTTTCGCAAGAAGCTGCTTGACAGTCTCAGAGATTATTTTCCCATGCAGCGCATAGTGTGAGAGGATCTCCGGACCGAGAAAATCCTACAAAAGACAGGTATACAACAAGTTATTTATGTCATTATGTAAGCTAGCGTCTCTCGAACTCGAAATTTATTTTGCGTTAAGTTCATTCAAAGATGCAGAAGGTCAACTTGACTAAAAATCTGTATCATCGTGTGATTCCCACGCGAACTTGAATGACCTCACGTAAACTATCTATTCGATGAAAACATTAACAAAACAATTTGACCACATGAGAGTCGGATATCCACGCTCTCTTGTTGGTGAACTTCAAGCACAACAATCGTCCATTTCTACCATTCCAGCTGATTGAATATCGAACCTTGGGGACCATATCGTGAGCAATAAGCTTCGCGGCTGCAGTCATGACCATATCTTTCTCATTTAGGAACTCAGCAGTTGGCCCCTCTGTGATCTCTTCTTCGCCCTCATCTGCTTTTCACAAGAACGGTAGAGGTTCCCAGTCATGCTTACAAATCGATGCAAAAAAACTCCTTTCGAGTTAGAGGCAGCGAGTGCAGGACGATACATATAACTGGAAGATTGGAGTGTTAGTGTTCATAAAAAACATCAGAAGCACGAACGCTTAGTGTTTCCCCGTTTGACTAATACCGGCGATCTGCTAGCCTTAAAATGATGTACCACATCACAAGGCAAACAGTCAAGGGCATTCATAGTCGCTAAAAGCACCGCGAAGAACTGAACGATAGAATCTAAGCAAGAACCTAGCTACATTTAACGACAGCTCTAAGAGATAAGTTACCTGTGTAAGAAAGCCTGTACTCGCATAGTTGCCAGAACCTTTCAAGAATATCCATAGGAGGGCAAAACCCAAGCGCCCTCAATTTGGTTGGTGCCAACTTCGCTTCGCTAAATAAACTCCAAACGTCTGACAGAATCAGGCACATCTGTGACAACACAGACAAAGTTTTCACTCCAACAATTCTGACAATATTCGAGAACATCAAACTCCCAATCCTTCCAAACTGGCTGAAAAAAAAGTAATCTCACGAAAGACACTGAGGCAGTTCAAAACATACTGTGCAGGTCAAAACATTCCGGGGATTTCCTTGATCCCAGCTATCAAGAACAAAGTCCATAAAACTGTACAGATGCTGGATCAGCCTTGCTCTAATCGTCAGCAATGACGCGATTGCAGTCTCGTCCGGACTATGAGGATCGATCGCTGACAACGACCACGTGATATGTAGGTACATATTCAAGAAGATCAGTCGAACAACCTGCATCTCGGGACAACAGAAAGAAAGTTCCGGAAAAGAATGAGAAATGTAGCTAGCTGCCATAAATACTAGTTTGACTAGAAGTGTTATGTGTTCCCAAACTTCGCTTCCTGATTCAACAATGACATGCGACAACTACCCTTTAGTCTAACACAAGGATATTTCTGCTTCCAACAACAATCAACCACAAAGCAACAACATGGCAACAATCAACACAAAGACTGAAACCAGGGAGCTAAAGTCAGTGTCGTAGTTACAGCTTTACAACAACTACCACTAGCAACAGTTAGCATCAGCGGTATCAATTTGTTGAAAACTAATGAAGAAAGCTAACAAGGTACACTAACCATCAGGAGAAAACCGGAAGTAACACAGTTGTGCTTCATGAAAATACACACCTCGTCATCGAGATTACTAAAGTCATCTAGAAGACCCAGCATGTCTGCAAAAAGACCTTCGTTCGATACGCGTATCGCTAGTTGCAGCTGATACATTCTTCTCAGATTGACAGTTAAAGAGTAATCATCTTCCGCATCCTGTAGAAACACAGTTAATGTCTAGCACGTGCAAACATTCTTGGACAATGATCATTCTTTAGAAAAAGTCCAGCTCTATTCTGCAAAAGTAAGTCTGATGGACAATAGGAAGTGAAGGAAAATACCCCTAATTGACCTATTGCAGACTTCAACTTTGAAGAAAGATCGTCGACAGTTTGCTTGAAGATCTGTTGTGCAGAGTCTTGCAGATCCGCATGACTTTCGTTAGCAGCAAAAGCGAGAGATTTCACACAGGCCTTCAAGGTGTTACTGTCTCCATGCTTAACGAAAGCATCCTTTATGAGCTGAAGTGCTGCTGCAAAACTCTGACAACAAGAAAACAAAAGGTGCGTAAGTCTGCTACTGCGTATTGATCAAATGAGGCCGGAACTATAAAACTTACGACATTGATGCAAAGCACAATATGTTCTCCAATATCCTGCCAGAGCTCATACACAAGTCAATTCTAAACCCGCTTGTCAAAGCTGCTCATAGGGCTTGCCTGCTCTTTCCGTTGTAAGGAATACAACTCAAGTTTCATATGAAATATAATCTCAACGAGAGCTGACACTTTTGCTTGATCAGCCAGATATTTCCTGAGAAGCTTGGTCAAGGATTTGATCATTGCCAAGGTCATCTCCTTCTTACTGGCTTCCAATGATTCCTGCAGATGAAAGGGACACGTGGCAGTTACACAGTAGTTACACGTGGTAGTTAAACGTAAATCCACATCCAGGAGAGAGAATTCACCAAAGTAGACCAGAAGCTAAGGATTATCAAAAGCAACAAAAAAAATAAGGAGCGAGGTATATCATATTCTCAAATGAGAATAAAAATAGTTCCCACACATCAGGATGCTTCACAAACCTTTTGTGCTTTTGTAAGAGAAACTTTACGATGATCACTGGAAGGGACAATCTTCTCTCCAACAGCCTTCTTGACTGAGGCCGACAAGACTCTAACCAGATTCGTTGCGTCCCTATCTGTCAGCTCATCGGATTGACGATCCTCTAAAAGCATTGTGGTCATACACTTCCAGTCCTGTTACAATCATCAAGGTGTCAACAAAACAGTGTGAGGACAGCATCCAAACAAGGAATTGCACAGAACAGAGGAGATGGACAAAAGTCTATTCGTTGGTAATGCCTGACTCCTTGTTGCCAAATACCTTCCCCGGCAGGACAATGTTGATGCCGAGGAAAAGAAGATGGACGAGAGAAAGCTTTCAAGCATCTGACGATCAGAGATCTCCCATACATTGGTGTTTATGAAATTCTGCGATCAGTGGCTACCTTCGCGACCACGTTCAGTATTTAGTAGATTACTAAGAACAAGGCTCGAGTTTATGCTAACGTGAGCGACAGGGTTCGGGACTTGAAATTAGACCACTTTGTATAGGAATAATCAACAATTCTATTATTCAACATTGGGTACATCTTTTGGCCACATGAAGCTACATGTTTGGTACTAAAGACGTTCGCTGATTTCTCAAAAGGATGAGTTGGGTCTTACAAAGGACAGAGCTGGTGATTGGATAACAAAAATTAGAACACGCGTTGGATACAATGCACTCAAAGTATGTTGGATGAAAAAATAAAGTGGCTGAGGGTACCCCAGATTTATAACAACGGCAACCTACTTTTACAGGGTTGTTCAAAACTCGGGCTTTAAAAGAACGCGAGAGTCCAATATCTCCTGACAACTTCATTGAAAAACAAAAAGAAACTACTGACCTTCATTGCCTTGCACTTATCCCAAAGAGCGTCTATAACGTAGTCACAGAGGATAGGATCTCCAGAAAACTCTCTTAAGATCTGCAGGAGTCGCTCGAGCTGCCCTTGCAGATTCTCATTGTCCTTTCCTGTTGACAAAGCTCAAGTTATGACTATATCCATTAGAGTTTGTATTGAGAAAGTCGCCAAAAGAAACAGGAAGTAGATGCACAGAAGAAACCAATGTTAGCAGCCAACGCAAGAACGTAATACATGTTACAACAGCTGAAGACAAAATGACAATGACGACAAAATGACAAGTAAACAACCTCCAGCTGCTGGTGCTATAAGGTGATCGTAAACAAGATCTCCGACCGCATGACGAATTTGCGGCGATTCATCAATCAAGAACTCGTAAAGAGGACCCAACTCATCGTCTTCTAGAAGCTGGTGCCTGCGTAGAGCCATATGCTGCTTCAGTAACACTGGACATAAAGGTAGGCGTAAAGCTGTTCATATAAGTCTCACGAGAAACCTTCACCTTCAGCAATAAGGGACAATCGACGCAATTGAAGTTCATACTTCTAATATAGATTCTCAGGTAGGAGACAAACCTTAGTAGTTGTTTCAACAAACCAATTGCACTGACAGCCACATTGACATCTATATCATCTGCAAGCTCAATCATCCTGGTGCTGAATCGCTCCGTGAATAATCCCAGAGATGGAATATTATCATCGACAGCATACAACGCTTGCAGTGCCAACACTGAGCTCCTCCGAACAGTTGGGTTCTGGACATCCAACGGTCGTTCAGGAAGGACAGAAATTTCGGGGAAGTTTTCGTCGTCGAAGTTTCACTCAACGACTGGCTTCAACGACGCAAATTATAACAAGCAAGCACGATTTCCAATAATCAAGTCAAATCCAATGTTAAAACTTCTAGCGTCTGTTCTCAGTCGACGTAACTTACAACACTCACTCAGTTTACCAAAACGCCTTTCAAGTTCAGCCTTGAAAAGACAAAGAGAAGTGCCCATCAGAGTCCGGTAGTACCTTATCGTTCAAAGTCCATCCAATATATTTCAAGTAAAGGTCTTGAAGGAACAAGGATGGGTAGGCAGAAATCCATGATCCAATAGCTGTAATACAAGCCATTCGAATCTCTGAGTCCACGTCTCTATATCGGTGCATGAATAGCCTGGCAAATCACAATCATATCGGCTTGTCAGCTGAGTTACGCAGACAACATCCTAAGTATGAAATCTAGACCTTGATAGTTGGAGAGCAAGACTAGGTGCCGGAGATCGGATGGAATAAAACTGGATGTTGAAATCTGTGTTCACCACTAGAAGTTTCCAGAACATCGAGTCTTTCTCAGCTGTACGTAGCAAATTCAGAGTAGGGAAGCACTAACCCAGTGAATATCTTCCTCATCATTTCTTCCACTGTTGTAATCTTTTCATGAGTTTCAGATAGAGTCTTGTTAAGAGATTCAACACGGGGTCCATCCTTTCGTTTCTTCTTCTCGGCATTCAGCTGCCTTTGTGCGGTTTCGCGAGATTCACCCAACCTCTTCGCTACACCCACTAGGGATGTCACTAGTTGGCAGCCTACCAAAGTCCCAACCCGTCGAAAAGTTCTCGGAGGTGTGCTGCGGGTGAGTACAAAAAACATTGTCACCACAAAGAGTAAGATGTAAATGAAGAAGACATACAGGAATGAGGGAAAAGAAACAAAAAAAAGTATCCGAGAGTTGAAGTCCATTGAAGCACCAGGGAATTCCATGCAAGGGCGAGAGATGCGACTTGCAACACTTACCAAGAGAGAGCAATGACGTAATCCATACTTTTTTCCATAAGCTTTTGATCGAAAAGAGCACCATCCTGGCACTCTCTCACCAAGCTATCCCAAAAGGTAACAAGATTATCTTTGAAGTTGCGGAAATCACGTTGTTTTGATCCAAGGTAATCTTCCAGACCATCCTGTGAGAGTTAAGTACATACTCTTCTGTTTAAATTCTTTCAAATGAAGCAAGACTCTAGAATCCCTCTCCGCAATCAGATGTCAACTGCTATGCAGAATAATTTTATTCGGCCTGGTGGTTCCTTACCTTTTATACTATTCAACTGCGACTGGTCTACAAAATGCTGCAATTGGCAGTTCACTTATTTAAAAAGGATACATTCTTGGCGATGTCCACCAACTCTCGAACAGCATCATCGATGTCAACTTCGGTCCAAGTATATGTGTCCAAGCCAGACTTCACTCCACAAGCCTATTGACGACAATCAAGCAAGTTTAGAGAATGCAATAGCAAGGGACGTGAGAAATATGCAGAAGTTAACAGATTGTTACAGACTTCTTAGACTAAGCGTATCAAATACAGCTCACATTGGACAAGCTTTTAGGCACTCAGACTCTGCACAGAAACTACAGCTTACCTGAAAGAGAGCTTTCAGGAGCTCCCCAAGCGCCAAGTCTGGATTGGCCTCATAGCGTTCCACCCACTTCGCAGCTGCGTGTCGGACTACTTTCCCTTTGTGCTTTAGAACGTCTGTGCGATAACCGTATAAAGTGGAATGAGTGCTAACAGCAGTAGGCTATGACCACGCATCGTAGCTTCCGACATCGATGAAAATGCCGATTTCTATATTCCAACAGCTAATGAGCTCATGAAAATGACCGGATTCTTGTCAAGATTGATATGTAATGACGTGGACTACCCAGATTATATAGGTGCGACTACTTGTACAAACGTATGCCTCAGCAGCATATCGATGAAACGTGTAACTTTTTCAAAGCTTCATATACCAATAAGGTCTTCGTTATCGGCGTCAGGTTCCTCAGCAATGAAGGCATGTTGTCTTTTGCGTTTAGGTCCACCTTCTTTCTCCCTTTCTACTCCGTTAGCTTTGGCTCTTTTCTGTAAATCAGCACGGACAAACATGAAAATCACATCTCCAGACATTCAGAACTGGAGATATGGCCAGCAAAAACACATAAGTGTCCTGTAATACTTACCTTCGGTCTGTTGCTCTCCTGTCCGAGGGAGCGCTTCCTTGTGGGCTCTTCTACATCGGGATCATCAGGATCAGTGCCCTCTGAACCGCTGCTATCCATGACCCTGAAATGAAACTTCAATATATGTGTTAGTAAACTTGACAAAACGGACGTGAAAAAAACCTATTACTTTAGCGTTAAAACGGACGTATTACTTTGCAACCACCAAAAAAACGGATACTTTGGCAGATTTGAAACTAAGAATCTCGTGGTCTGCCAGTCCAGTATAGAACATAATACCAAGTTAGACAACAAATACGAGAAACCGCTATATGAAATCTCTCAGAAAATTTAGTAAAAATGTGATCATACTCTTTAAGCAACACGGAGTTGAGAACAGCCTGCCGTCGATTTCTCCTGCCAGGTTCGAAGTCATGGTCTAAATCCATGCTTCACTTGATGATTAAGAGTGGGTGTAGACGCTGTTGCCCTTCTTAGAAAGAACTTGATGCACCTTGACATGAAGAGTGAAACAATACTGTAATTCTCAGATAAACAATGACTGCAAATGCTGTGATACGCACTGTCATGACAACAAAACCGCTTAGAAATGAAAAATCCACAGTTAACCTCCCACAATCGTTCGGATGCAACTAATGAACGGCTATTAAAGTATCAACATCTGCAAGTACCTGCCCTACAGACTACATCACATCTTGATCTTGAAACAAAGACCGTAGGAATCCACCAGGCCAGCAATGACTTCTTCAGCACTCAGTTATCAAATCACTTGTTTCTGGACTGTGAAATATACACTTCCATACTCCTTCATGTAAATCTAAAACTCCAGACAGAAGCCACATCTTCCATGTGGAGATGACGAGCAATTCCTCCCCATTTGACGCGGTCTTTAAAATGTCAGAAGTCTTTGAAACATCAACCGAGAGCAAATTTCTGTAGGAACTACATTTCAGAGTAGTATAGAGTTCAGGAGAATTTCATTTGTCTCGATGTTCATGCAAAAACTTATGAAGGCAGAAATCCTGTACCTCAACTAAAATATCGCAAACTCAACATCTGGTCACACGAAGTTTAACCTAATGCCACCAAAGAGTTTAAATTTCAGAATGTTCGAGCCATGTTAAAACTAAAACCTCCAACAAAGATTGTAAATTACTCAGAACTCTATCAAACAGGTCAGTTCCCAGCATACAACAATGCATTTTGATCTGTCCAGGCTGCGTGATGAGCTGTTCTGAACTACTAAAAAGCGTCTCGGTAACTATTCAGCTTCATGGTCTCTGAGATGAGGCTCCTTACGTTCTCACATCGCTCGTTGAGAGAGTGATATAGACCATTCTATGCGGTATCAACAATTCCATGCAATTGCCAGTGAACTTCCACAATCTACTTATGAAAAAGTAGACTCAACACAGGGAACAGATCGAAGGTCAAATTATATCTCATTTCTTCTTTGAGCCTATCTTCTGGATTTACGTTAACTTTAGTCATGTCCTCGGTTCAGGGAATCAGACTGAAATCATAATTATAGCATCTTCAGACCTCTACCACATAGATTGCCGCGGTGCAAGTTCCCTCGGGCTGCCCTTGTGGAAACGCTTGCAAGCAGTAATACAGCTACTTCATAAATCTAATAGAACATACCATAACATACAGTCTATACAATGTATTTCATAAACGAGTAAATTTTGTAGTTCAACACCCTTACCAGAAAACGAGACAGGCAATTCTCTGCGCAGTCACAAGCACACGCCACGCACACACGCACACACAAAGATCAAGCCAAACTTGAACCTCATGAATTTCAGGTCTGAGCAGGTTACCAACTCAGTCACGTCATTCGGTCAGTCGATCAGCATCCGGGTTCGCCTTCAAATTCATCAGAGGATCTCCTTCTCCTGCGTCTTCGTCTTGCTGTTTCCACCTCAATTTTCATGCCCCTGCCATGTCGTGCGTGCATCAGCAAGGGGGTAAAGCTGCAGCGTAGCGCAGCGCCAATGCCAAAGAGCGGGAGTACCTCCCGCTCCATAGAAGAACATCCTTCGTCAGTCCAGAGTCACGGTGCAGCCTCGGAGCCGCCAGAAATTAGTTAGGAGAACATCCATCCCGGGCGTCTACCGCCGAGTCAAGTCAATGCTCACGTAAGGTGGACGGGGAAATTTTCGGGTCATGAAGCGAAAGGAAGCGAAATTTCACGGAGCTTTCTCCCCTCCTTCACAGCAGCGGGACTTCGAGACTCCCGATATTTTTGAATCTCCAAGTCCGCGGACAATTGGGGACACGGAGTAACTTCGGCCAAACGACCTCCTACCGATGGTCAAATCTGCACCTTTCTATTTATAGCGTGTTGCTTTTCCCTACCGAGCGAGGCTAACGAACGCCGTCGAACCGGACGATCCGACGATTCGGTGACGATTCTTTCCGGGATTCCTCACTCCGTGGGATTCCGCGATGATTGCCGCGAGGCGACCCCCGCTCCCAATCTTGGAATTTGAAACCGACCGTCCAGATGTCGATCTACGATTCTCGTGGCGTGATTGTATCAATGCAACATGTCATCCGGAGTGAACGTTTGTTTGGCCTTCCCTTCCTTTGTTTGTATTCCCAGGACTTGAAGGCCATCCTCCGGCGCCTTCAAACTTTTGGCGCCAGGATGGTAGCGCAGGTGTTCACGCGCCTTCGACTGTAGATCCTTCCGTCATGGGTTGATGCCTAAACCTTGCGTTTCAATGGACGGCAAGTGGGAGCCAGAATTTATAACGGCCCGTTCGTTGATCGATTCGAGTTCGCTCTGTGTCTGGAATCGACTTGTTCTTCGGAGGTATTGAATATGGACAAGTGGATCTGCTGGATCAATGAAGTTTACTTTTGACTTCAACGTTCGATTAGGGGAAATGCGCATCGACAAGCAGGTCTCTTCTGAAATCATGATATGATACATCGACGTAACAAGATCTTGAGGAAGACGCTTGGGGTGATCTCATTCTCACCTTCATATCTGTGAAAACATAACAGTATCGATTGATGAGTACATATGTAAAACTTTCTAAATTTGTACTGCTTACATTTTAAAAACTACTGATATATTTTATCAATATATGTTACCAATGTAATATGGAACTCTCTCAACCCATATACCATAATAAATACAAACTAAATTTCAAATTTGTAATAGATCTCAAGGCTGTACAAACCAAAGTTAAAGACAATCACGGTTACTTATTGTAATTGGGTTCTTGATCATAAACCTTGATTTGTATAATCATCTCCTTTTTGGAGATGATTATTTTTTGATTGAAACTGCAGAACAACTGCAGGGTTGAGATTATTCTTTTTAAGATTTTAAACTTTTTACTGATTAACGTTTCATAGTCATATTTTAACTTCTTTAAAATTTTAACTCATAATATTAGTAACTACTTTTATATAACTTCAACACATCAACACTAAAGCCAACTGACAAGATTTGTTAAGTATTGTATATTACAGTTTTTGGAAATGACAGGTAATACAAAATAAAAATCACGTTGTAACTGATATCACTTTCTATATTCAAATGAATAAACTTTCATATGAGACTAAATATCTTTCAACATAGTATATTTATCTTTCCCATATATGCTAACATATATTGTTAAAATTTGTTGTTCAAAATCTTATTTCAAGATTCTTAAAACAGTTCCTATATATTTTGTTGGTAAAATTTGTAGGAACTATCCAACTTTACATCCAATCTTTAACTAGCTTGCATCTTTCCAATTGAAGTATATAAATGTAAAAACTCCTGCAAATATACTTTATGGAAATTTAACATGAGTTTGACTTAACTTTGTGGATTTGGAACAAAAATTTTAAGTGTAGAAAAATTTGTTCGATAAAGAGTTCCAAGCCACAATGGTAAATACAATTCAAATCTCATGCAAACAAATTGAAAGTCGTGCTTACAAAATATCATGATTAAGCAGAATACATAAATTTAAAGAAAGACACTTTTTGATTCTGATTTTAATATTTTTTATTTATTTTTTATCTGCAAATATGTATAAAGTACTTATTTACTCATACAGAATTATAAATTTTTAAATCATGTAGCCTATTTTTTCAACAAATAAAGTGAATGGAAAACGCTATTCAAGTTGTGTTTGAAATTGGAGATGGTCATAATATGTAAGTATAAAATCAGAGTATATTTCTTTTATATATATCAAACTGAATTCAATTTTTATACATAATTTTATCACACAGTTTTTGTTAAACTTCAAAATGCCGAATGAGTAAAAATCGGATGAGTTGTGAGATCGTTATTTTCATGTTATCTGCTTGGCTAATTTCATTAAAAAAATTTAAAGTTTGCAATTTTCAATATTGTGAGAAGTGAACACAAGACAAATATACATTTAAAAAATAATTTTACTTAGTTCTTCTGAAGCTCTGGTCACAGGCATGGATTTTTATTTTCTCATCACTTTTTTTTTCAAATATTATGAATTGAAATAAATTAATGTATAGACGATAAAAACTTGTTAATTGAATGCACTTGTTTTCTTGTACGTTATCTTATTAAAATAAATAATGATGTTTATATATTTGTATGTATTTGCAATAAAGGTTTCTTAATTATAACATAAGCTTTTAAGAGTTAGAGGTTTATAGTCAAACAGATGATGTTTTTAGTAGCATTGTTTTGGAGTTTACACTTCAATGTTAACAAAGCGTATCGTAAGTGTATAGCGATTTCAACCCACCTTATTGAATCGTTTCGTATATATAGGAGTTGATAATGTATACACTTTATACATATACATTCACATATTACATTATACACATTATGCATTATAACTTTCGGCTAATCGTTCAATAGTCATATAAAGTAGATATCATGGGAGCTGATTAGTATTCACTCTACTGTAGGCAGTTCTCTTATTGGTCGATATAGTAGGAGGGTGATAATCAAATAAGAAGGGTGATAATCAAATAAGAAAGGGGATAATCAAATAAGAACGTATAGTAGGGTCAGGGCTAATTAGCCCTAAGTGAGGGATAACTAGCCCTCCCCCGTACCATATACACTTATGTGTTTGCTTACTACGATTGATATCAGGAGTTGGTATTTATATTAGGAATTGGTACTGATACTTCATGTACATTTAGATACGTGAATGTAAAGGATTTGGAATTCAACCTCAATGCAAGACAAGGAAGGTTACACTCTTATGACGTTTTTGGGGAAAATATGCTAGCGCGACCGAGGAAAATCTGCTGATGTAGAGATAATATTATTATGGTAAGAGCAGGCAGCTATATCTTCTGCCATATAAGTGATTTTTTCGAATAGTGAGATCCACTGAAAGCGATAAGATTCTCTACGTGTTACGTCCTCAATTTAAATAACAGCGTGCAAAGCAGCCGTTCAAATATTGTGTTCTGCTTCAAAATTATACACAAAAAGAATTGCAACATCTTTTTTCACAAAGAGAGGCTTTATCTTTCTCAATATTCACTTTGGCTACGATCCCGAATATCGGCTTTGATGATTTGTTGCATCGTTAATTGGTAAACATCGGCCATGCGTCCTGCTTGTTTTATTATAAAGGACGGCAGGAAACTTATAGCTTGGAATCATCTCGAGAACTTCTATACTTCGAAGTCCATGGATGTGGTACTTTTTGAGGCAATCCAAGTAAAGTCGATGATGTCACAATATCACAACATCAGACCCACCAACTCCATCTGTGTTTCTAGTGTGGGGGGCGAGCATAGCTTCCACCCTGATTTCACATAATCCATACAATCGGTGAATACTCCTTCCAAGAAGTTTGTCTCGTTTTCAGCGAAACAAAAGAGAAGCAAGTGTAATCCTACAAAGTTCTTGAAATAAGTATTTTTGAATTTTGTATCCTTGTTCAGATTGCAATCATTTGGCTGACAGTTGAAGCATAAAAGGGTTTTTTCGCAGATGATGATACCGACTGGGTAAGATTACCAACCTGCATAAGTTAAAAATCGATATCGAGGCGTACAAAAGCTTGGAGCTCTAGAAGGCCATGCATCGTGGGAAGTTTCCATCTTCGTCCTGCTACAAGTTGAGTTCTTTCCGTAACTGCCAGATGAAGCGGCAAAGAAAGAGGGAAAATTTTAAATCCGAATTTAAGCATTTTCCTCCTCGGTTCGTGCATTTCAGGTGAAGTTCTTCCTCTTTCTCGGTGCGCTTCGGGGATCGAGTGCTCCCTGCGTCTGCATATGCGCTGTCATAATCGAGAGCTAGTCTCATTCGCTCTCGATTCGGCGACCCGAGGTGCGAGCACTGAAAAAGGCCAACAAGACCTGAAAATAAAGCATCCAATGGATTGGCAGTTCCATCTCTTCGTTTTTCAAGAAAGGGGCGAACAGGACAGATCATGCGGATCCTTGCTCTATGCGCCTTCCTGTAACTCTGGGTTATAGGTGGTAGGTGTATGTACTGTATTGCACAATTCATGTACAGGTTGGATGTTGTTTGCTTTCTCATTGAACAGTGAATGGAATCTAGCAACGTGATTAGTTTCAAGGATGAGCATTCATCAATCATCGTTGCTTATGACCATAAGAAATGATAAACTTAACTTGAATTCCATGCCGGTTACTGACATCATTCCTGACTCTTAGCCCTGAATTTACAGGAAGTATTTTCACCTAAAGATTAGAGTCCAAACACTCTAGAAAATGCATATTGTCACTGTCAACCGTACGCTTTAGCTCCCCAGTTCGATTAAAATGTTCATTGCACCGCATATGTACGTACAAGAATTTTGTTACTCCACAAATCTGATTATTCTGCTTTGGAACTTTCAATGAGCATAATACGTGCATTACAAAAGACAGCGATATCATCGGGTGTGGCAATCAATGCCTCGGTGGATGTCAAAAAGTGCCTTTATCCTGTTTCAAATACCACTTTTGAAAATAATATCAGAATATAGTAGTAAACAAACACATTCATTTAGTGTTGGTCCAAGATGGCATCTACAGACTGACGATAATACTGAGCAAGGGTCGAACTATTCTTGCAGATGTCTGTCTATTTATTCGGACATTTATATTATCGTGGGTTGGAAGGAATGAATGTATTTTTTCTTCTGCGGGCTTGAGAACGTGCAATACCGGATGTGGTAATTGTTTTGATTTATTTTGTGTGGAAAAACAGGCTTGTGAGTAATTTTGTCGTAGAAGCTCCTCACAGAATGATTTGCTTTCTTCTTTCTTATGGTTCTTACGGATGGGATTGTTATCATACACGGAAAAGGGTTTTCTCTACAAATGTTGGTTACTCCTCATTTCCATAGCCGGCTGAAAGTTTTGAATATAATGGTGTAGGGGGAGTGCCTCTAATTTTCAAGAAGCCTCGATAAAGACAAAGGACACGTATAAACACGAAACTTCAAGGCCCATTGCCTTCTGCGTATTGAAGTATAGATCGAAAGTCTGTAAGATGACATCCGTTAGACGAGTACAGAAAAAACACGCAGCAAACCTCTCTACTTTTAATTAGCTTGATTGTGATTGCTTGTAAAGCGTGGGATTTAGAAAGCGAACGATGTGAGCACAATTTAGACTTCCATGAGTTTGTAGCATCCGCTGGCCTCACTATGCTCGAAGCAACAACTGTAGTTTTACAAGGTCAGCGCGGGACCCCGGCCTCCTAGTCGCGACTACAAATTCAGCCGGTGCCCGTTCTCAATCCTCGGTCCTGAATCCTCGATCGCACGAGCATGGCCCACTCCACCACTGCTAGTACACTGGGCTCGTCAGACGGCAGCATTACTCTCTGGGTGAAAGGCAGCGAGCCGAGAGTGCCGATCATGGCTTTATATATGTAGTCGGGCACATCGTATTTTAGAGTATCGCTCGAATTCTCCACGTGTCACGGTCACGAGTGTCCTTTTTGTCAGAGGAAAAAAATGGTTTTTGCATGTCAAAATAGGGATCCAGTAAATGGTCAAGCAGTCGCGTAAAACTTTTGAACTCCGCCCTCGCATAGCACTCGTTTAAAGATGTCTCCGCGGGAGCGTGGACGGGTGACGGGAGCGGTTTCCGTTGTCGTGTGATTCGAGCCGCGGAGTACGAATGTCGGATTTCGGGCGAACGAGTCCGGTCAGAGGGCGGAGGAGGCTACGACCGACCGACGACCCCTGTGACCTCTCCACGCCCGGCATGCCATTGTTCAGTCAATGTCAATGCCATGCCGGATCCATGAGATGAGATCACCCGACATGCCATTTCGGCCCGCGGCACGAACATACATAACACTCCCAGGACTCTTGTACATACACGACGAGTCAAGAAAAGACGGAGCAGGAGGAGGAGGAGGAGGAAGAGCATAGCAAGATGGTTACGCATGCATGGGTGCATGGGGTGGGTCCGCTAACGGATACTTACCCAGAGTGTGAAAAACAAAGGCAGAGCTTTGGCTTGTCGTCCCGCGTGTGTAAGAATAGGCGCCCTGTTCGGTCTCTCTCTCGAGCGGGGAGTCTCTCCCCCTGTCCTTCCTTCGCTCGCTCGCTCAGCAGACTGGGTCGACAGACGGACAGAGCGGGGAGTGACAGACAGCGGACAGAGAGACAGAGAGACAGACGCAGACTTGCCTCCGCCATCCGCTCGCGTCGGCCTTTTCCCACAGCGGCTGGTGGCGCATTGTGTCAAAGCTGCAGCTGCATCTACTGCTGCGTCTTCGATTGCTCTCGCTCTCGCTCGCTGCTCAGTGCGCGCGCGGGGTTTGTGAGAGGAGGAGGAGGAGGGAAGGAAGGAGGAGGAGGGGAGCGGAGCGCTCGAGCGATGGGGGACGGGCTCGACGTCGGTTCCAGCTGCTGTTGAGACGGCTCGGCCGCGAGGCATTTTGATAATTCGAGCGTCGGATCGGGACTCTGGTGCTGGCGGTTCTTGGAGTCTTTCTGCTCCCTCTTGTTGTGTGACAGACAACAGGCAGGCTTGGTGTTTCGGGTCGAGCGAGCGAGGGAGGGGAGGTTTCTTGGCTCGTTGGTACGGGTTGGGCTACTTGGAAGCGAACACGCTCTTGCTTCCGGTGGGTGGGTGAGGGGTTGCGGTGCATCGTTGCTGTTACTTTGGTTCCGTGCACTAGGTTTATAGCTATCGAGGCCGGCTTTGCGAACCGACGAGGCCCGAGGTTTAGCAGCACGAGGACGAGCGTCGGTGGGATTGGACGAGTCCGCACTCGAACAGAGGATAGTGGCTGGCATTGTGTCTGGATCGCCAGAGGTCTCGTGGCTGTGCTCCTGGAGAGTCGCACGCACCTGCATTGTAGCAGGAGGGTTCTGTCGGCTGGATCTCGACAGTTTTGACGAAGCCGTCAGGGCTCAAGCGGTCGTGGCGAAACGTCGATGGCGGCTACCAACATTGGGATGATGGACGGAGCGTATTTCGTTGGGCGGAACGAAATTTTGGCGTGGATTAACTCGACGCTGCAACTCAATCTGAACAAGGTTGAGGAGGTACTCGTCGAGACGCGCTCATGCCTGTGTTTTTTAACTTTCGAAGCGGAAGAAGCTGCAGGCCCAGCTTTAACGCGCACGCGCGCGTGCACACACACACACACTGAACCACCACCCGCAACCCCGCACCTCAAGTTGTTCTTGAAAGAGCTGATGATTCCGTTCTACTGTCGAGCACTGTGTGCCTTCCTTAGACTGGCTAGACGATTTCCACCAAATGGACTGTCTCGCTTCCTCCGGATTACAGGTTTCTGACAGAAACTGCCACCGCATTTCTGTGTTCTTTCGTTGGGGATTGTCTGACAAGGTTTGCAGTACTTTTCAGACACTGTATTTCCAGGTAGTCGATCAAACGAATCTATCGAGCTCGTTCGCATCAATCCAAACGCATATCTTGGACGTGCTCTAAGGGAGGAAGCCAATAATTTCGGAAGGGCCGATGGCTTGTTGGTTTTGCACCACTGGCTCGTTGAAGCCGATTTCTTTCCAAATGTTTCTCATGCTGAGTTCCAGTATTCTAGTCGGAACAGTATCGTCAGTAGACGTTCTCGTTTTGAGTTTCTTCTGCAATCAATCGTGAACTAAGAAGTCCCTTCGCTGAAACCTCAAGCGACACGCTTGGCAGTTCTTTGCTAGCGTACATGACTGGGATCTTGTTCACAATCGTCATCTTCAGAGCCTTAAGTGCACTCACAATAATTTTGAACGTGGAGCTGTTAAGTACAATGACAAGCACCCAAAGGCTGAAGGATGATAGTAGTGACAGTAGCTGTTAAAGGGATGAGTCATGATTTCTGCCCTTCTAGCTTCCGCCTGAGGATGACGTGAACCCCTTTCCACAAGAAGCTCACGTCAACAGATAGTATTAGAAATCTAGAGAATGCAGTAATAGACGGGGAACCTATGATTGTCTCGTGCGATTTGAGTACCGTGCGATACTGACGTATCGGAGCTATGCAGGCTGCCTCCGGAGCTGTTCACTGCCAGTTGATGGATGCGGTGCATCCAGGAGTCGTTGCAATGCACAAGGTAGGCTGCTGTCCCTCTCGATACTCTTCACTCTGGCTGCTGTAGCACTGGGTGCTCATCTTCGAAATTGACGCGGGAATGTTTTACTCTGCTTTTCATTCGAAGGAGATTTGGGTTTTCTCGGATCGCGACACTGGAATTTGTCAGCAGGTTCTGTGGACATGATCCTTTTTCTTTTCTCTTTTTCTTTCTCGTGGATGGCCACGATTGACTCTACTGATTGAGAAAATGATGACCCAAATGTATTTGAAGGTGAATTTCGACGCCAAAACTGAGTACGACATGATTCAAAATTACAAGGTGTTGCAAGACGTTTTCAACAAATTGAAGATTGGAAAGGTGCCCGCTCCTTCCCGATTACTTCGTGGTTAATTTGGCTCGTATTCTCTCCTTGCTTTGTTGCGTGGTAAAAAATCGGCTGGGGTAACATTGCTACTCGTTTATTCTTTTCATTTGTGCAGCACATCGAGGTGAACAAATTGGTGAAGGGAAGACCATTGGACAACTTGGAGTTTATGCAGTGGCTGAAGCGATACTGTGATTCGATCAATGCAGGAGGGCATGGGTAGGTGACTTTCACTGTACTGGCTCGAGGCTTCTTTTGGCACAGTTTGACATAATTATCAGGTCCCGGGAAGTCTTCATGGATTAACTCTAACTATTCTTATTTTTCAGGTACAATGCCGTGGAGAGAAGGGAGGCATGTAAAGGTGGGAGGGAGGCAAATAAAAAGGCTGTGCTACCTAGTAATGCAGGTTCTTATTCCTCTGGCAAGTCTACTCCTAGCGCGCGTCCCATCACCCCTGCTGCCTCGTCTCTGCGCAAGACAGACAACTCTCATACAACCTCCAGTAGTATGAGCGACTCTCACTATCTCCTAGAAGCCCGCTTAGCATTAGAGTTGCAAATCATTCTTCCTCCTTGAGTTCTCCTTAGTTTTCAGGGTGGACTCTGGCACTTACAGTGTGGGACAATTCACCGCAAAAGCATCTCACTCACTAACCAACTAGAAGTGGCCTTGTTGACAATTTGCAGTGAGTAGGGGAGGCGGCAAAACTGCATCCAGTCTTTCGAATGTGACCAGCGTACCTCCTGCCCAAATTCAAGCTCTAAACGAGCAGGTAACCCGTCTGGGTCCATGGCGGTCTCCTAATAGCTTCCCTCTGCCACTATTAAGGTAGTTGCTGATTTTTCGCAAGATGGATGGACAGGGACATTGCGGTGCGAGAAGCCTAGCTTTCTATTTTCAAATTGTAATGGAGGCAAGTCAATGTTCCTGACTCCCTTTCAAATTTGTTTCTCAGATAACGGAGCTAAAACTCTCCGTCGACAGTTTGGAGAAGGAAAGAGACTTCTATTTTGCCAAGTTGAGAGACATCGAAATACTCTGTCAAAACCCCGAACTCGGTCACCTTCCTGTACGTATCATTAGAGCAAATGCATCTCATGCTCCTTGCCACTTAAATGTAGCCAATCAATTAGTGTTTGTAGCTTTAGTCTGTTGAGGAGCTTCAGGGCTTGGTAAGGGCATGTCATGGTTCCGTGGATTGCGCTTCATCAGCTTACTTGTTGCGAAGTTTGCTTCCTTTTTCACAAGAAAGAAGCTGTCGTCGCTGAGGAAAAATTACTTGATTGTGCTGTTCACAGGTGGTCATGGCAGTTCAAAAAATTTTGTACGCAGCTGATGACAACCCTTCAGTGATTGCGGAGGCTCAGGCGATGATTTGCCAATCTGCTCTTGATTACCCGAAAGATATCTCGGAAGACGATTCTTTTTTTGATTCCTTAACGGCTAAGCGCGATATGCATAAGCGCAAACAACTCAATATACCCGTCGAGGTGGATGACTCATCAACACTTTTGTCACCGCGGTCACGCAGAGTATCTTGTGGGGGTTCTAATGGAGAATATATTCAAGGTCAATCTCCTGTCAAGGTACAGTAACATAGCGGCCCAGGTACTTTAAATTGGTTTATCAGCGGGGCCTACTTCGGGAAGCTCACTTGCATTTGTTTGAATCCAGGATGCAACGGAATGCTCTCCAATGAGGGAGGTATAGTATTTATCCCAGCTAGCCATTACAGAGGTATTTATTTTCGGTACTAGTAGATGTATATTCAAGCAGGTCATCTGCATGTTCCTTGGGAATCTGGAAGCAACAACTTGTTTCAGCAGACATGCCCAAAGGATTGTTTCATGTTAGTGCACACTAGTCTCCTGGAAGGTGGATTCAGAATGGTGTAGAGTTTCTCCAACACTTCATCCTCTTTCCATTCCATTCTGATACGCATTTCCAGGTCTTTGCATATACGTTTTTGTAGACTCTTGGTGTTCTGTATCATCACACACTCGGCTCAGGGTATTAGGGTTATAGCGGTAGTGCATGCCCACTGAAGAGATCCTCCTCGAACTGCAATGTTGTATCTCCTTGTTTCTTTTGAGAGAATTAAGCAGAACAACTTTTTGCTGGTACGTTCACTTTTAATATTAAAAGATCACTTTACACTCCAGCCCACTGTAGTTTCTGGCAGGACTTACTATAGTGAAAGGCAGTTTTTATTCGCCTGGATAGGAGATGTTGAGGCTGCGTGTCTCCTCTGCCTTAAGGACTTCAGATGTGTAATTTTGAAGCACTTGAACAGTATAAAAGCCTGGGCTTTGGCTTCCCTGAAAACATTTGTGCAGAACTTGCTGTCGTGATTGCACCTCTTGTCAAGTGGGTTTCAGTCTTTGTGTGGCAAAGGCATAAGACTTTGGTTTCTGCTGAGCTCATCATTTTCGCGGTTTTTCAATCCCCGCAGCGACTACCCCTTTGCTTTCACGTATGAATGGAGTTGTTTGTTTTGTTTTGTGCTTCCGGGCTGTTACTCAAACATCGGTGACGTGAACTCACTCGCTGGGATCGCTCTTCTTCCACCCTCAAAAGGCTTTCCTCTGGTGAAGGGCAGTATCTACACCAGCCACTTGTGCTCCCTATTGCCAGAAAAGTCGATGATCATGTTGTTTGAATCTCCCATCTGGAAAGGATAGGGTTGTCTTGTCAAGGCCTTCAGGTTTTTTGGTAAAGGTCTGAGGTTCTGATGTGGCTGGGATTCGATGTCGATTGCGTATGTTTTGAGTTTTTAATGTTTCGAAACCTGTTTTCATCTTTATGTGGGTTCCGCTTTCTCTGAGCGACATTGGGCGTTAGGAAGTTGTAACATAGCAGGTACTTTCCCATCACTCCAGCGTCCGTCATCTGTCAAAGCGATGAGCTAGATTTTCACTGGATTATAATATACCTGGCTCAAAACGGGTGTCTAGTTGGTCACCCTTTTCTCATATCGTAGGTTGACTTCTCTGCAGATTCAGAGAAGCTTGTGATTCCTCCGTCTGATGGTAGACAGGCATCGAGCTTCAAAATCGGACTCAAAACATGCTGGTGGGGTTTCCTGCACGTAAGTAAGCCCAGTGATTTCTTCTACATCAATACCTGACTAGTGAAATTCTTACGGGACCGATGAATTCTGGAGAACCTTCCGGCTCCTTTTCGAACAATTTACAAAATCCTTCTTCCTAACTATTTTATACGGATTCCTTAATTATGGGTAATGAAACTGCACGTGTCATAGCGAAGACATGGGAACTGGAAACGTCCAAGAAGTCCCCTTTGCATGGAAAAACCCCCTCACATTCCACTTCCCTACAAATAAGTCATGGGCATATATTCCCCATTTAAGACGAAGTGGATGTAGGTTGTTTAAGACCTTTGGGAGAAATGGTAGTTAAAGAACAAACCAAAGTGATAACCAAGCGCAGACTGTCTGTAGTTTTAAGTGAAACCCAGCTGCAGCTGTGAAGCCCACGCTATCTTCTTTATCATTACAGGCTTTTCTGCGACTATGTGATTTAAGCACCTGCCGAACTTATGACAACGAACGGGGTAATCGGTTTTCACCTCGTAATGGGTTTCCTCCCCAACACAATTTCTGCGGTAAGATGACGTCTTGCAGAAGTTCGCAACCGAGACAGTTCAAATCACATGCCTCAGTGCGGCGAAGCTTGTATTGTACATACGGAGTAATGGAAAGCTGAAGCGTGTCTACGGTAGGATGTAAGGAGGGCTAAAACTGGGCAGGCGGAAATCTGTGTTATAGACTTGGTACCTGACTAAATCTTAACGCGATCTTCAGATCACTCAGCAGCCAGAAGCAAGGTAAGGTCACATTTATAGCACTGTAACCGCATTACTGCTTGTAATTGAGTCCACTTTCCTGGAGCTGCTGCGAACAAGTAAAGCCGTGATGGGATGCTTATCACGTTTTCGTGTCTCAGTATCGGGAGACACATGAGTACGGGAGACCATGCACTTAATTGAGTGCTCGTTGATTGGACCCCATGAACCACTGGAGCCTCGTATACAGGTCACGAGGGCACAGTACTGTAGTCTGACTGATAACCAAAATGAGGTCTGCCGAGCTGACAGTATAGACTCTGCGTTGTAGAGCCATCCCCCACTTTGCCATACTTTGTCACGAGTATCCTTGCTTACACTGCTAGAGCCAGTCACATCCTTTGGAGCAGTATTAAGTACTGCAGTATTAACGCAACAGGCCTGTTAAGCCTGCTACGTTAGCACTGCACCGTCTCGTAAAGTGCCATTGTCTTCAGGTTGCATATGCCTGTCATTCACGGCTTGAACAGCCTCTTTGAATTCGGGATACGTGATTCAGCTTCAGATCACTTGGGAACTACTCAGACATTGTCCAAGAGACGGACCTTGTGGTTGACGCGGAATGAGCAGTGAGTTCTTTTCCCCTGAACTGCGCGACGAACTCCAGCCGGGGAACACAATTGACGGTTGAGATGCAGGTTCTTCACAAAGAACCTCGCGTATAAAAGTCCCAAACAGGAGGTATATCCTTATACAATCCTTCCAGAAGCAAGGTAGCACAATGTGTCAAAGACCCAAGAAAACCATTAGAGGCTGCATTGATTGAGTTTAATGACAATAAGAACGCCATACTGATGAAGTGCTACAATATGCTGTAAGGGCCGCATGTATGGTGAATGAAAGAGTCATGACGGGCGGACTCAACCGAGCTGTTCTTTGTAGGACTTGCGATGCACAAGATTCAGAAACAGGTTCTCTCTGGGACTTCAAAAGAATGCGAGGCTTATCACTGGAATCGAAGAAGTAAGAAAGTGTACATACAGGTCAAGGCAGCGAGGTATATGATTTCATGACCTGCTCCGCCTCGTACGCAATGTGAACTCCTAAGGAGTTGTACATACCACTCGATCTAGAGGCCGGTGGAGCTATAACCGCTCCGCTTTTGGCCATCTACAATCATCTTCAATATTGCATTGGTCGAGTGCAGGCTAATCTCTGGGCTCAAGCCGGGACTAAAGGCGACCAGTCTTGGGACTATGCACTGCAATGGTGACACGCAGAGCGTTACTCTATCATGTCGAAGATAAGTGCAGAGTAACTTTTGCTCAGATGAATGTATGCTGGAGCGCACTGCGCCATGAAATACCTTCCGTACGTACATGAGAAGTTTTCTATACATCAATAATGTTGATACTGATGAGCACCCGTCTTTTTCTTTTACGTTTTGTGAAAGTAAGCTTTGCACAGTGACCACAAACTTTTGCTCTAATCACTTTGCACATTCACCGGTTTTCAGATAAAGCATCATATGATAAGGCAGAAGCAAACTCTCTAACAGACTAGATGAGAAAAGAGGACATGTCTAAGTGATGACTGATTACAAGTTTGCACAGGAAAGACTGATGTATCTGTAGTAACCTCAAACCTTGATCATTTATCTAAACATTGGAAGTCAACTAAGTAAGGATATGAGGCAAACATTATTTCTTGGAAAATTTACGTACTTCTTTACAGGTCAACAATTCGTACACGTTCACACGTCACGAGATGTTGAGATGTTGCTTGTCTGGAGATAGGATCCACATAGTCTTCGGAGAAGGAGTAGTTGAGCACTTTCTCTGTAATCACCAAAAGCACAGGCCTCGAAATGGTCTCGAAACAAGTAAGCCACGAGTATGAGTAACATTTAATATGACAACACTGTGAGGAATGTAACTGTGCAGCAATACTTTCCGATAGGCCAGGGTCAGAAGTTCAACGAAAAATGTAAAACAAAAGATGATGGTCCTGTCTTCTAACATGATGATGATGTAGTCTGTACTCCAGAGAACAGTCTGCTCTAAGAGACTTGTTGAAAATCAGGAACGAGGTTACTGTATGAATGCAATGTGGACTGTGGACGTTGCAGATGCCAATGTATCGTACATACCGGTAGTATTGTGAGGAACGACTACAATGCAAGCACTGGAATCACGTGCATCGCCACAATGATGATCTTTGGATAAGGGCTGAGGAATTCGGCATGTCTTGTGGCAGGATCTGACGTCAGTTCAGCCGCCAAAAGAGCACAAGAAAAAGCTGAGCACTTGGATTGGCTCCGGGGGAGAAACAAAGAAAGAGGAGCTGCTCTGCGCCAAGCTCAGCACGTGGAGTGGCATCGGAGGCTACTTTCAGGCAGCAGTAACAGCAGTTCAAGTGGCGACAATAGTTGCAAAACCTGAACCCTCAGCAGCGGAAGGAACAGCCGAAGGCCCAACTAAATTCGCCACAGCTGCACAAAATATTCCCGTCGATGCCCGCTCCGGCACTTGTCCCCCTTCCACTCCTGGCGCTCCATGGAGGCCCGAAGAAGCCGCTGGCGGACTTTGTACTCCCCGGCAGGACGAGGACGAGGAGAAGGAGAAAGGCGTCGTGGCCGATAGCGTGAGCGAAGAGAAGAAGAAGACGACGACGTGCTCCTCTGAAGGCCCGAATTTCATCGCTATTGGCCGATCAGTAGGTCAGGAAGAGAAGGAAGCCATTCTCTGGGACTTGCTGAACTCGTTCCCTCCCCCGCCTCCCCCCGAGAAATGTGTGATCGGCAGTAGCAGCAGCAGCGAGAGCCCCCAAACAAGAGACTTTCTTTTGGAGAAGAGTGTCGTGAATGGTGGCAGCCCGAGCCCGAGCCCCAAAGCCAGGGATTCGCTGTCGGAGAAAAGTGCCGAGCGCGGGAGCCCGAAAGTAACCGAATTGCTGCTGCTCGAGAAGAAGGGGCTTTCTATAATCTGCGACAGTGAGCGGGCTGGTGCTGGTGCTGCGGCTGCCGGTCTTCCTAGTCTGAGCAGAAGTAGCTCGGGAAGCTTTTGTAGCCGTATCCCTCTGCCTCCTTCGAGCAGCGGCAGCGGCAGCGGTATCCGAGACCAATTCGAAGAAAAGCTGAGGAAAAGTGCTCGAGAGGAGGCGAGGATGACTCCCATCGACCCCCACTCCTACACCGATGCAGCGCATCCGCTGACGAAGCATGCTGCTTTGACCATCTCGTTGGACTTCGAGTCCAAAACCATCACCGGCACCGTCACTCTGTCGCTGGAGAGAGCGCACTCCGGAGAAATTTTCTTGGACACGCGCGATTTGACCATCGATGGTGCGTGGGACTCTACCAAGAAAGGGCTGAAATTCGTACTGGAGCCGGCTGATAAGATCAAGGGATCTCTTCTGCGCGTCTTCCTCGAGAATGAGGTTTCTGATTTCACCGTCGCTTTCAAGACGAGTCCACAGGCCTCGGCTCTTCAATGGTTGGAGCCGGCCCAAACTGGGGGTGGAAAACTCCCGTACATGTTCACACAATGTCAGGCCATTCACGCTCGATCGATCTTTCCCTGCCAAGACACCCCCATCGCGAGGCTAAAATATTCTGCGGATGTGAACATTCCTGCAGAGTTGTCGGCTGTTATGTCAGCTGCTTACATTGGCAGAGTGCCCGGCGAGACTGAAGCCAGGGTCGTCGAGCGATTTGTTATGGAGCAGCCGATCCCCCCGTACCTATTCGCTTTAGCTGTCGGAGATATCACGTACGAGGAGGTCGGTCCTCGGACGAGGATATATGCAGAGCCGTCGGAGATCAGGGTTGCTGCTTACGAGTTCGCTCATACGGAAGAAACCGTGAAACAGGCAGAGGCTCTTTTTGGACCTTACGACTGGGAAAGATTTGACCTCCTGGTCATGCCCCCGAGCTTCCCTTATGGAGGAATGGAAAATCCCCGCATGGTTTTCTTGACCCCCACGATAATCGTCGGCGATCGGAGCGGAGTTGAAGTTGTTGCACACGAACTTGCCCACAGCTGGACTGGAAATCTGATCAGCAACGCTACCGCCAACGATTTTTGGCTGAACGAGGTAAGAAGATGAACTTCGGAAGCTTTTTTTTCGTTCTTTTTCATGCAGCAGTTGAAATAATCATGTCGAATTGGACGCTTAGATCAATGAACTGAGAATTCCAGATCTACAATGATGCGGGGTTTGGATCGGCATAACCCGTTTCGCCGTTAAACCCCCCTACGTACGTATAGATGCCCTGGTGGTTGGTGACGTGAATGAGCTTGATATTGACAATTGAGCTTGGAATCACCAGCTCACGTGTAGCCGAATAGCTTTCACCCGTTTGTAGTGGCAGATATTGACGTTTATATGTAAAACCAAAAATGCTAGCTCTCCGTCTTGCACACTTGTTAGTCACGCGTTTTAGTTTTTGGGGAGGAGGAAAGATCAATGGTAAGAAATCTTCTAGAGCTACCGATCAGTTTATCTGGAGTTGGCCCTTGCAGGTTGTGGAGTAGCTCATGTACTTATGATGAGGAGTACTGATTCTCACCCAGCTATAGCGAGGAGTGTTCATTAATTCATGGTTGCTAGCAGTCCATCCTAACTAAAGCTATTGTAACATTTGCCCCTGGACAGATACATCGTGGTTCTTGCAAGGAATAGTCTCGTCCATAACATGCGTGTTCGAATCGTTGTCTTTCACAGGCGACTCTTTTAACGTTATGATTCATACACCCGCTATGTCTGTTCGGTGTGATTCAATTTTTTGATTCACGCGTTCGTTCCAGCTCTCACTAGATTTGATAATATCAGTTCTAATCCCTTCGGCGCTTCGGACAATTGATAACGTCTGGGTGTCAGATCGTAAGAGCTACGTGATATTTACATGAAAGCAGTGGTAGCTTGTAAAAGCTTGTGCAGATTGTAAACCTCTTTTGTAGGATCACGAAGCAAGAAGCAATGTACCTGAAAATTCTTTCCCTTTGCAGGGATTCACAACATATGCGGAGAGACGCATTGTAGAAGTACAGGATGGAGTGGAACGTGTAGGTCTTCACATCGGATTGGGATGGCAAGGACTAGAAGAGGAGGTTGAGCGGTTCAAGGATCAGCCCGAGTTCACAAAGTTGAAGCAGAATCTGGAGGGTGTGGACCCAGATGAAATCTATTCGAAAGTACCATACGAGAAAGGCTTCCAGTTCCTTTGCCACTTGGAGCAAAAGTTTGGACGGCCGGCCTTCGATGAGTTTTTGAGAAAGTACATCAACAAATTTAGGTTTCAGTCTATCGACACCGAAACCTTTCTAGTGTTTTTGAAAGAGCAGCTGCCGAAAGTGGAGGAGCTAGTGGATCTCGAAACCTGGATATATGGAACCGGAATTCCAAAAGACGCTGTCCCACCCGGAGCAGGGATCCTGCAAAAAGTCCTCGAGCTTGCAGACAAATTCAAGTCCGGTGTCCGTTTACAGCCAGCAGACGTCCAAGGATGGGAAGCTCAAGAATACATTGTATATCTGGAGCGTCTCCCTAAGAGACTCACAGCAGAGGAAATCCAAGAGCTCGATGGCCCTTTCCACTTCTCGGAGTCCAAGAACTGGGAGATCAAAGTGGCAACTCTGACCATTGCAGCGTATTCAGCGTATCAGCCTCTGTTTCCAGCCATCGAGCAGACACTGCACACCGTTGGCAGGATGAAGTATTTGAAGCTCCTGTACCAAGGCCTTCTCGAGTGCTCACGGGAGGGCAATGCGCTGGCTAAGAAGGTGTACGAAGAAGCCAAGAACAAATACCACCCCATTGCACAAGTAGTCGTGCAAGGCTTGATTTCAAAGTACCCTTAGTTGTACTTTCTTCGCTATGAAGACTTTTGAGGTCGTGCTCATCCTTCTCCTGAAAACGTGAAGGGACTACGTTCCGGCTCTTCACGTCCCTTCCCCCTTTGGGAGGTTAGCAGATCATGGCCATGTTGAGGCTCTGCGTTGTATACTTTTCCTTACTCGCTGTACATCCCCCTTCCCTTGTCACGGGATGAAGGTACCTTGTATAAAATGCGAAAACCAACTTCGCGAATTTAAACTCTGCAAGTGGTTCTCTAGTCCAAGCCAGAATCAGTTGGCACGCAGAAGGAAATTCAGCGATTACGAGATTCTTTCAGATCTCGCGGTGTTGGAGCTTGTTTTCAGTTATTTTGTACTTTTTCCGTTCCCTTGTCATCAATCGATCGTTCAAATGTTTTGGAATTTGCTGCAAATTCAGTGGAGCAAATTGAATTTTATTTATAATACGCCATTAACCCAAACCTTCCTCTTTGCTGATTCCGCTTGTCATATGGGACAGGAGAGTAGTGTTTCTGACTTTGCCGACCATAGTCAAAGGATTACCTACGGGCAAGAAAGGGAGACGCATGGAAAGAATGTCACGATGTTAGCACAGCACCAGAGCTCCAAGCAAAAGCAAAAAGAAATGGGGCAAGAGAAACAAGAAAAGCTAAGAGGGTAAATTGAAGTTTGGAGATATCCTCTCCATGTCTACGATGGGGCTTGGTAAGAGGTCTCAAACGAACGCGTATAGTCAAAAGCATTTTTCTTTCAATGGGAGGCAAATGTACCCTGAAATGCTATGAACATATGATATCTCTGTTGTTTAATACAACGATATGAGCGAAATGTGACAATGTGATGAACAAAGCTAAAATTCTTTGAATAAGCAAAGGGATTCTAATGCTATCAATACATGTGATGACAACAGTGGATGCAGTAAAACATTATAATGTGTAAATCTAAGTCATGTATTATGAATATATATATATATATACATACTTCTGGATCTTATAGTAGAGCTGATCTTTGCAACTGCTACACCATGTCATATGATTCAATAGTGTGCTTTTGCAGTCGATTCATCATTTATGAATCATCAAATCGTAATCATATCCCATCACATCTCATGTTACAAAGCAGGGTTTAAGCGGGTCTTTCGACCCAGTTGCCTCCCCAACCGTAAAAGAGTCTTCCACCTCAAACGGCTTTCCAATTCGAGGTCCTCTTATAACTTTGAGCTTTCATTCTTACGCATCAAATCTCCACGAGAGAGATAGTTGATATGACATTTGTCTCAAACCAAGACCTTAAGAGCCAATTGACATTCTCTCTAGATGTTAAAAAGTTTTTGTTGACGTGTACACGAGAAGAAGAGAAAATTGGGAGGCCCTCTGAGGTTCAGATCTGGTAGACTTGTAATAATTACATTGTTGTTACACAGAAAACTCTTCGGAACGTGTGAATTGTTTTAATGTATGGACAAAAAATTGGCTTACTTAACTTCAATCAAGACTTAAATCAACTTCTTTACTCAATTACAGTGCTACTAAGAAAATCTCATGAGCAGATTTAATGGTTTTTGTCCTCTTTCTTTTGTTCGTCATTAATTGAACAAGGGTGGCTGAGCGCAATGCTCAGGATTATTTTTTATTTCTAAAATTTATTCTATTTGCTTCATTCTATTTAATGAAGGCGCTCCCACCTCCTGTCCGCGGGCAAGAGAAAGAGTGGCGAGGATGGACGGACGGACGTTTCTTGTCACACAATCAGTCAGTCAATCCGTCTGTCCGTCCGTCGGCGGAGGATCCACGGAACCGAGAGATGGAATTTGGAGGTGAGCTGCGTTGCAGCAGCAGCGGATCGAGCGTCTTCAGTCTGTGAGTCATGGCGATGGCAGCGGCAGCGGCAGCGTCGTCCCAGCACTTGGGCCTCGCCTTGATCACATCTTTGGCTTGTCTTCGAGGCCGAGCTGGTGCCATAACATCCGCCGCTTCTAAGGTAGCAACTTTTTCGAGAATTCGTTCATTTTGTTGGTCGTCATTGCGCGTCAAGAATTTGCGCAGGAATGCCGTTCTTTCCTTGAGTACCCGAGAATTTCTTAGTTGTGAATGAGTTCGAGTAATTTTGATTTAAGCTGGTGCCAATTTTCTCGTAAATCTGTCGATTCAAAATTCAATTTTTCTGTTACTTAATCGAATGAGACGATTTCTGGCTTTCATGAAGTCATGTAGGCTGGAATTGGATAAGCTAGTACCTCAGTTGAATGCACACGGAGCCCTCTCCGGTTTTCAAGGATCAAGAGGTACATTGAATTTTGTTCATTTTCCTCTTTCATTTTGTGAGGCTTTTTCAGCGTTTCTTTGTTGGAATTGTAGTGATTTGGACTAAATTCTATTGCTCGTGTGTATGCAATATGTGAGTGTATGCAATTTTGTCGTTGAAAATGTTCAAGCTTGTTCAAATTTGAAGAAGCATGCCTTTCTGAAGGGCAATAGATTGACTGATGTCATCCAGCTATCTTACATTCTTAGCGAGTCAGCAGGCTACATATTACGCGAACCAATTTGCAGGCCACGAAGTCTCAGTGCATCTGCAACCACTCAAGAGAGTGTTAGGGGACCCTCGCAAGCTGGACCTCCGAGCACTGATGGAGGTGTTATTGACACCAGCCCGCCCCGTGGCACCCGAGATTTCCCACCTGAAGACATGCGCTTACGGACATGGCTTTTCAATAACTTTCGGGAGGTGAGAGTTGTGTTTTTTCTTATGTAGCTTTCAAATTGCACTGTTTTGATTTGCCTATGAAGTGCCTAAGGAGTGGGAAATGTTTGAAGTAGACAAAAATTCTTAACCATTTGTGATTCATTCATTCGTGAGTGCAGGTGTCGAGTTTATTCGGTTTTGAAGAGATTGACTTCCCGGTGCTGGAGTCTGAAGAGCTCTATATAAGAAAAGCCGGGGAGGAGATTACACAGCAGGTCCGTTTGCGAATCACTCCATGATGTTGGAATTTGCTCACTTATAGTTGCTCAGGATTTGGTGGCGTCCCCTACTGGCGTATTTCTTGATAAATCTGTGGAAGAACTTGGTGGATCAAGCTTTGAAGAAATACAACAGAAAACCTGCGTCTAGGTTTTTTGGTTTATAATTGCAAGGTCGGCAACAGAGAGCAGCTAGACTGAGTATTACTTTTAAACTTCGAACTTGCTATGTTTTGTGTTCATTCTGGGGAGTGGACGCGTACGAAAATGCAATATCTGCATAACCTGGTTGTTGAACGGCTGAAATATATCCGAGATGGACTTTCCACAAAATTTGAGAGCTTTCTTTTGCTGACGGGAACTTCTTTGTTTGGGTAAGCTGGTTGGCAGCTCTACAACTTCGAGGATAAGGGTGGTCGCAGGGTCACGCTGCGCCCTGAGCTTACACCATCTTTGGCACGCCTTGTCCTACAGAAAGGGTTGGTATCAGTTTCCTCAGAAAAGTGAAGAACAATATCAGTACTTGAAGCCCAGATATGGTCAGATAGTTCACTTTTCTTGATGATCATGAACACGCAAAATGGCTGGTCATGATCATATACTTAGTCCGTTAACGATATTTTAATCGCAACGATTCTGATGTGATCATACAGGAAATCTGCATCGTTGCCACTCAAGTGGTTTGCTATTGGGCAATGTTGGCGATACGAGAGGATGACAAGAGGGCGAAGACGTGAGCATTACCAGTGGAACATGGACATAATTGGTATTCCTGGCGTGGAGGTCAGTTCCAGTTAATGAGGTTGCGTAGCTTACGTGGAAATGAAGCCATATATCAACTTCGAGACCGACGTTTCTTCTCTCTCACCTGATTGGAACTAAGAGATGTTTCTATTGATAATCAGGCAGAGGCAGAACTTCTTTCCGCCATTGTCGCGTTCTTCTCCAAGCTCGGGATTACGTCCAGTGACGTTGGTATTAAAATTTCAAATCGCAAGGTGAGTTGGTGCTGACATCATATATATCATCACCATAGCCTGCAATTATTCAATCCTACTGTTTGTCAAAATTTCTGCTCGAAATCACAGGTTATTCTATCTGCCTAGCACGTCGTGGACGTCTTTTCGACCTTTTATGGACCACAAGCTCTACGTCTCATGGTAATCCCAAACATGTGCTGGCAGGTGCTACAAGAGGTCCTTGGGCGCAGTGTGATCCCAGAAAGCTCTTTTGCGGCTGTATGTGTTATTGTCGACAAGGTGTGTGTTCGATCAATGATTTGAAGGCTAAAAATTCCGTCATCTGTCCATGAACACTGCCGGAACAAGCTTAGATGTTCACTCATGTTAATCCTGCCTGTATCTTTCTCTTGTTTAGATTGAGAAGATACCAAGAGCAGAGGTAGAGAAAGAGTTAACAGCGTTGGGTCTTCCCGTGGAAGCTGTGGATACAATTCTACGGGCTCTCACGTTACGTTCACTTGATGATCTTGAAGGTGCGTTAGTTTCTCGCGATTCCCAATTCAAACTGATTCACGTCTTTTCAGTTTCAAGGAAGTTCCTGTGTTCATAGTTTGATTCTCCCTATTTCTATTCTCATGTGGAAACTGTGCTGAATGACTTGAAACGATTGTCTCGTAAACTGGAGGACCTTAACAGTATATTAGTCAGAGCACTGCTTTATTTCTGATGATAAGATTTTTAATGCTGGTGCAGAACTTTTAGGGTCAGACAACGAAGCAGTCGTAGAATTGAAGCAACTTTTTGAATTGGCTCGAGGATATGGTTTTGAAGACTGGCTGCAGTTTGATGCTTCTGTGGTCCGAGGTCTCGCATATTACACAGGAACAGTCTTTGAGGTCAAAGTCGAATCCACTTGTCTTTACCTTTAGAGCAGGAGTTTGTGCCTTATGACTAGGATATGAGCTGCTCATTATCTATGTACTTACTCTCGACTCAAATTATGGTACTCCAAGATGTGGTATTTACCATGACCATTTCTGTTCGAATTTTCAGGCCTTTGACAGGACAGGGACTCTACGTGCAATTTGTGGAGGGGGCAGATATGACAAGCTTCTGTCTACATTTGGGGGAGTAGACACTCCTGCCTGTGGATTTGGCTTTGGGGACGCAGTTATTGTCGAGGTGAGAACATTTCAAAGTCTGGGGGTTTATGTAGTTTGTTTGCCACCTCACAAGAGCCCCTCCAAAGCTGGACAGTTGGGCCCTTTACTGAGTGATTACTCAGTAAAGGACATTTTTTTGGCTTCTAAAAATGAAGGGCTTCCGTAACGTGCAATTCGTATAGATAAATTTACATGCTAGATATAATCAGCATTAAAGAGACCAGCAAGAGCGCAGTTTGTGGAATGATCGGGGCCACAGTTCAAGGGCGTAATCTGGGGCTTAGACTTCAGTTTTTGAATCTTTGTAATTGCTCATGTGTGGTCATTTCCGTCAAAGCAGGGGCAGCTTGTGTCCAAGTTTATCTTAAACTTAATATTGGCAATGATTATCATTATTTCGTTAGAGGCGAGCCCATAGCGTAGGTCATGTGTAGAACATCTGGATGGACGATTGACTGTTCACGGTTGATCACAGCTTTTGAAGGAGAAGAAGTTGTTGCCAGAGTTGAATCACGAAGTGGATGACATCGTGATGCCTCTGGAGGAAGAGCTTCGTCCTCAAGCAGCAATAGTTGCAGCTCGCCTTCGAACTCAAGGACGAAGAGTCGATGTTGTAATGGGAAATAAAAAAATGAAATGGTACGCCACGTGAACCGTAATCGGTGCCTTCGTTTGTAGGAGGAAGGATGAATCTTGTTATATTCTCCTGATGTTTGAATATGTTCTGAGAAAAATTAGCTGCTTTTTACAGGGCCTTCAAGCATGCGGAGCGACTCCAGGCAAAGAGAATGGTTATCCTGGGAAGCACAGAATGGACAAAAGGGTCTGTGCGGGTGAAGGATTTATCCTCCAGAGAGGAGAAGGACTTGCCTTTAGAGGAACTTTAGTAGTATAGGTCAGTAGATTAGACTTATTCTTTTAACATGGATATTCTAGAAATGTTCTCTTAAATTTACATCGTTTTGTCAGATATAGGTGCGAGCTTTCTTGATGTAAAACGTGGTAACCTTCCACTTTTTCAACGATGATTAGATGAAAGAATTTATCTATCAGGAGTGCTGTAAACCTGTGATTATGGAGTGTGGTCTTACAGTTTATGAATACATGACGCGAGTTTTGATCTTACATCGTGTCAACAGAAACTCCATGAATATCTCTGAACCCGTTCGATTTGTTCACAAATAGAGACAGCCTTCAGAATGGAGGCAGCGTTCACAGAGCAGGAAGAGTAATTGATTTCTCGACAAAGAGAGTTAATTGCAATAAACTGTAATACTTGGTGCAGGTTTGAAATGTTCTTCTGATTCTGTGCCGTCAACTGTCTACTTCCAAAAAACCTAATTTTGACTGCAGTAGTGGAGCCAGAGAAACGGTTGAGAGTCCAAGCAATGCCTCCTGTGTGTCGGATTTTTAGCCCAAAATGACATTCGGCTGCCGATGTCATTTGGGACTGTGGAGGAATATTTTTACAGTAAGTGCCGAAACCTTTGAAATGTAACAGTAATGGTCAGAAGGACTGGTTATGGCCATGCTTCTTTCTTTTTGAGTTCTTTGTTATATGTTCATGTACGCCAAGGGCGCTTCCATATGCATGCACTTGTTTCTTGTCGTTTCTTGGCCAATGCATGTTTTAACAAAAATTGAGGTAATTGCAAAATCACTGCAGATCTATGTCGTATCTCGTGCACATGTGGTGTGAAAGCAAATGGACGTATTCTTGTTCCAAAGGCTCAAGTTGCATGCAATCCGTGGAGGACTCTTCGAGAATATGGAATTAGTAACTTACTTTTCAGTGTAGTGTGAAACTTACAATCTAGAATCCGATGAACTTTACCACATAAAGTCAAAGCTGACATTCTTGATTCATCTTTCTTTTCGTACACGAGGATAACTACTTAAAAATAACTCTAATCCAAGATAATGTATGAGAGCTCAATTACAGAATAACAGTTTCATTAATTCCACTGATTGGAATCGAATCATTAAATTTGAGCGATAGTAATTGATATTAATTGTAATAATATGAATTTATACCTGAGTATATTATAACAATTTTTCCCTTGAATCGCGTACTGTGTACATTAATTTCTTTAATTCATATAATTATTACACGGAAATTGTTTAATAATTTTAATATTGTTAAATTTTTTTAATTAAAATTAAACGAAATTTTTTATAGCATACCATAGAATAATAGAAAATATAAAAAAATAAAATTATTAATAAAATATACTTGTGTTCATCACGAGAATTATACTAGTACCATGATGTATTTTTAAATTTTCCATAAGAATAACTTTGATGAAATCAATCTTGACTGGGTTAACATTCATATAAAAAACTTAGTCTCTAAGATTATGACTATGATAATCGACATCAATATGTTTCATTTTGCTTACTGCAGTTTGATTTGCAATAAGATATAAATAGCTGCGACAATGCAATTGGCACAACTATTTAAAGTAGAACTTATCAGTGATACATTTTGGAAAGAGTAGTTTGTCAATGGTCATTGTAAATATTTTAACCAAATTGCTTTCATATGCGGTTTCTATTACTACATACCCAGCTTCGATTATAAACTTAGCGACACATTTTTCGAAAGTGAATTTTAAATTAATACATCATCAACCACCAAGAGTAAAAACATATCAATTTGTAGATATTCTCTTGTCTTCAATCAGCATCGATTTATAACAAAGTTTTGACATTGTGTCATAAAGCATAAAAAGATAGCATATGTCTTTTATTCTTGAAATATTCATGAATTTGATACTTGCTCTTCATCTCTATAATTATATTAAGTCTAGTGCATACCATCATATACATGAAACTGCTCACTTTTTTGTCATAGATATCAATGACATGTTTCTTTTTTCAATGATATGATTGAGTTGCAAAAAAATTGAAACATGATGCAAAAAGATTCCATACTCCTTTAGATTTTGTCAAGTTAAACTTTTCAAGCGTTGTTGAATGTGTTTGCTTTGACTTAATCATAACTTAACATTTTCAAATCTCCACAAACATTTATTTTTAATATACTACTGAACTTTTCTTTCATACAGAACGGATTTTATTTTATTAGTTTTTGAAGCTTTTATAATCAGATTGATTTTTGTTCCAAAATAGTAGACTAGTTACCTAAGAAATGTCTATATTATCTAGGTAGACCATTAATATGTTGCCATGTATTTTTCTTCATGGAAATCAATCATAAATATCAAAATGAATCTTATTCAAATTAAATTAGTTAGTAACTAGCAGAAGTTATCATGAAAAATTCTTAAGAAGTATAGATCAAAAAATATAATACACACTTAAAGTCAAGTTTGGAAAGTTTTTTATGCAAGTCTTTGTTTCATCAATGAAAATTGGATTTGCAAATATCTTTAGATGTCAATGAGAAATTTTGAAAATTATAGTTTTGAAAGTATAGTGTTTAAACACAGACATGTAAGGAACATTCAATCATATGAATTTTTTATTAGCTACTGAAAACACATTTGAGTTAACATCGAGCAAGGATTAGCTTGAAATTCACAATTCATCTCGCGTAATCAATTTTTTATTTCCACATCTCTCATCAATTGCACCATGCATGAATTTGAAAATCTTGAAACCCACAATGATTGTCATCACACATGTATGGATGAATTTTGAAAGTAGACTAAAAAACAAGATAATACTTCCTCGTCGAATAGAAACATGGTACCAGGACTCACATGTATGGATGAATTTTGAAAGGAGACTAATAAAGAAGATCTTCCTTCCTCGGTCGAATAGTAACATTGTACCATTGCATAACAATATGATCTCCTTCGCGTTCTTACTCATCAACTTCAGAACATAGCTTGATCAACATCCAAGGAAATGCATGATATGTGTGTCCACCGTACTATTTCAACAATGTTCCATTTTCTTTCAAAAGCGAGATCCTAAAAATTTGAAGAGTATAAAAGAAAAAGTTAAAAGCATGACATCAAAGTTCAGTGGAAATCTTATTTTTGATACGTCTTGTAAAAAAATTACGTTCACAGCTAATATTTGTGTCTTACACTTATAAATGTACATAATAAAATCCATAAATGAAAATTTGATTTGATTTTTTTTCACAGAGATTCATATCTTTTGATCCCTATATTCTTTATAAAGAGAGGAAGTGGATCCGAAAATCAAACTGCGGGTTTGGGGGAGTGGGGAAGACATGACACATGCAAGGGAAGGAATAAGAAGATGCTCTTGATGGTCCAAACATCCATCACTCTATTTCGAACGCCCGACATGAGTATTCGACGTGATAAACGAGCAAGAGAACTCTTAGCACGGACGGAATTTGTTTTCATTTTAGTGTTTGATGTCTGAAGACCTCTGGAATTGAAACTGTGCATGTGCTCACATGCTCCACTGTTGAGCTAGAAGAACAATCATACCAATCATCAATAGAGAACCTCGAGTATTCATACACTCTGTACACATTTTTTCTACCTTGTTTTTAGCAAACTACCCAAAAGCGAATCAGTTTGTTCTGAACTCACGAGCTATGAAGAAGACTCTACCGATCTTGAAAGCTTGTACTGGAGTTCAAGCTTAAGGAAACAGTTTGCTTCAAACCTTACTCCTCGCACCTGCTGTCTGCAACTTGGCGATCATCTGCTTCAAGGAACGATTCTCCAAATCCGTCATCACCTGCCCCTACAACGTGACTATCTCCACCACCACGAGCCCTATTCAGGAAATGATGATAATATACTCCTTTATATAGCTTAGAACAACTTGGGGACAAAGAAATCTAATTAATGCAAATATGTATCACAAGATATTTACTCTTTTGAACATTCTTTTAAAATATAAAATGATAGCAAAGTATCCAATCACCTTGCTTTGCAATCAAATAATCTAGCATATTACTTGATGAAGAAGTTGTCTTCACGCCCAAAAATCTCACTTGCAAAAACATTGGTAACATTTGCATGTGAATTTCTTTTAGGATTCCTCTACTTCTAATTTCTAATTTTCTATAGTCCAGCAAAAGATTGCATTTGACTCGGAATGTAAGTATGTCAAAATCTAGTTCTTTCTCGAGTTAACAACTATTTTATTCTTTTAACAATATCAATAGGCTTCAAACAGAACCATTTACTCCAAACGTTCTATATATTTAATAATTTGATTTCAATTGAAAATTTTAAATTTAATTGTAAAAAATATAATTTGAGTATACTACATACAAACAATATATGTAATATTATTATATGATTTTCAATTTAAAACGAAGAATATAGTCAATATGAAAAGTAGAGTACTTATTGAAGAATTGATCATTTAGACACTTTGCACCAAATGATAATGTGTGAGAACTAACCAACTGTAAAATATTAAATTCTTTTACGAGTATCTTGGATAATCAACATCCGCCAAGGATTTGTTATCATTGAGGCCATATAAATCTATCTATTCTCGAAAAGTTGAAGGTAAGTAATATTAAGTATTATACTTTTAAAGAATAAAATAATCTCAGAAATATGAGTTTCAAAAATTTTTGCAGAATCAAAATCTTGGGCGTGCCACACTGTCTTTTCTTTGTTTTCTAAAGACGTGAAGTTTACAGTTAAAAAAAACTCAAGATCTGTTTGTTTCCGACTTAAGTTGTCGTAGACTTGAAAACTTGCAAATCAAACTTCACAAAGTGTGGTTCGAGGAAGTCAAGATTTGTTGTTGACGGTAAGAGAGATTCCATATATAATACAGTGCATGTGTCCACTAGGGCTGAATCGTAAGTCTTTTCCAGTGTTGCTTTATTCTCCACTTGAGTATATCACCTTGTTGACCTCTATGAATCTTCCACAATACATTTGCTTCCACGTAGGAAAAAACTTTCTGTCAAGATTCCATCAATCTGTCACCAAAAGGTTGAGTATATCACCATGTTGACCTCCGCGTATCTTACGCAATACATTTGCTTACACGTCAAACCAAAAACTTTCTGTCAGATTCCATCAATTTGACACCAAAGGGTTGACCGAGTCCAAAGGGTTGCCCCGATATGATTCTTTATTTAAGAATCATCCAC